CCTGGCCTAGTCAGAACATTGTACACACTATCAGTATCACAGAGCCTGTACCTGGCCTAGTCAGAACATTGTACACACTATCAGTATCACAGAGCCTGTACCTGGCCTAGACAGCACATTGTACACACTATCAGTATCACAGAGCCTGTACCTGGCCTAGACAGCACATTGTACACACTATCAGTATCACAGAGCCTGTACCTGGCCTAGACAGCACGTTGTACACACAATCAGTATCACAGAGCCTGTACCTGGCCTAGTCTGCACATTGTACACACTATCAGTATCACAGAGCCTGTACCTGGCCTAGCCTGCACATTGTACTCACTATCAGTATCACAGAGCCTGTACCTGGCCTAGACAGCACATTGTACACACTATCAGTATCACAGAGCCTGTACCTGGCCTAGACAGCACGTTGTACACACTATCAGTATCACAGAGCCTGTACCTGGCCTAGTCAGAACATTGTACACACTATCAGTATCACAGAGCCTGTACCTGGCCTAGACAGCACGTTGTACACACTATCAGTATCACAGAGCCTGTACCTGGCCTAGACAACACACTGTACACACTATCAGTATCACAGAGCCTGTACCTGGCCTAGTCAGAACACTGTACACACTATCAGTATCACAGAGCCTGTACCTGGCCTAGACAGCACATTGTACACACTATCAGTATCACAGAGCCTGTACCTGGTCTAGTCAGGACACTGTACACACTATCAGTATCACAGAGCCTGTACCTGGCCTAGTCAGAACACTGTACACACTATCAGTATCACAGAGCCTGTACCTGGTCTAGTCAGAACACTGTACACACTATCAGTATCACAGAGCCTGTACCTGGCCTAGTCAGAACACTGTACACACTATCAGTATCACAGAGCCTGTACCTGGCCTAGTCAGAACATTGTACACACTATCAGTATCACAGAGCCTGTACATGGCCTAGTCTGCACATTGTACACACTATCAGTATCACAGAGCCTGTACCTGGCCTAGACAGCACATTGTACACACGATCAGTATCACAGAGCATGTACCTGGTCTAGTCAGAACATTGTACACACTATCAGTATCACAGAGCCTGTACCTTGCCTAGTCAGAACATTGTACACACTATCAGTATCACAGAGCCTGTACCTGACCTAGTCAGAACATTGTACACACTATCAGTATCACAGAGCCTGTACCTGGCCTAGTCAGAACATTGTACACACTATCAGTATCACACAGCCTGTACCTGGCCTAGACAGCACATTGTACACACTATCAGTATCACACAGCCTGTACCTGGCCTAGTCTACACATTGTACACACTATCAGTATCACAGAGCCTGTACCTGGCCTAGTCTACACATTGTACACACTATCAGTATCACAGAGCCTGTACCTTGCCTAGTCAGAACATTGTACACACTACCAGTATCACAGAGCCTGTACCTGGCCTAGACAGCACATTGTACTCACTATCAGTATCACAGAGCCGTTCCAAGTAGCCGTCCAATCATATTACCCGTATATGCGACATCAAACGCTGTGCTAAGTTTGTAATAAGAGACATTTAGATTGCAACATCACAAAAAAAAAGCGATTGCGAATGGGTCCAGGGTAATAGTAATGGTAATAAAAGTGGCCGCCATGTTGGACAATACACAGCGCTTGGCCCTTTTCCTCAAATTGATTAGAGTGAGTGAGTGAGTTGGATTTAACGTCGTTTTTAACAGTATTCCAGTGATATCGCGGCGTGTCAGCTTATTGTGGGAGGAAAGCCCAAAGTGATGCAGGTCTCCGACGTTTACCACTTCGGTGAAACCCACGAGCACGGGTATGGTGCTGACAAATCTAGAAACATAATCGGGGCGAAACGGGATTCGAACCCACAATCATAGGTTTCTGGCGTGCCCAAGGGACATGACTCTGCACAGCGAATCGCGGCGCCTTAGACGACTGGGCCACACGCACCCAACAAAGTGATGAGAAAACTCCCATTCTCAAACATAAACTTACGAACGTCCCAGTGCTCCGATCGTTTAGCTGAACAGGGACCCGTTCCAAAAAGCGATTTAAACGCTAAGATAAACGCAACACCCCAACTTTCACGTAGTTGTACCACAGTCGTAGCGTTGAGATCGTGTAGTCGGGCCCCGTCCTGTCCTTCAAGAGGTTTAAAGGTTTCCATACTGCTTTGGTTTATTAATACCTTGCTTAAATAATCGCTTCCGATTGCTGGAGACTGCTAGTATAACGCCAACAATAAGCGTCAGGGGTTACCAGCGCCACTCTGCAACAACACACCACGGTGCTAACATACATTTGTTCTGCAGTAAGCATGCAGATTGGCGGGGTACGGGGTTTGTAGAAGCCATTTTTCATCTCATCAACCTGTGCCAGGAATTTACAATGTTCGCTGTTCTAACACATGTCGTTAACGGAAAACCGACGAAACACAAGGTGAAGATCCAGCCCCATGTGTATTGTGGTGAGTTCCTTGGCACAAGCTATAGACACCATGTTCAAGATACAATGTTTCTTGATATTGAAATCAGTGTGTACAACAACTGACCGTTTGTATTTGATATACATTAGCCGTTATGCGATGTTAATCAGCTAAATAGTTTAATACATCAATGTAAATATTCACGTAGAAACGTCATGCCAGGTAGGAACGCCTGAAAGGATTGTATTGTCCAAAGAGGAACTTTGAGGGAACCTTCGTGTGTTTCTTGTTGAACCCTGCATTCAGCACTAAACCAGGAGAGAGAGAGTGAGTGAGTGAGTTGGGTTTAACGCCGCTTTTAACAGTATTCCAGTTATATCACGGCGTGTCAGCTTAATGTGGGAGGAAAGCCCGAAGAGATGCAGGTCTCAGACGTTTACCAGTTCGGTGAAACCCACGAGCACGGGTATAGTGCTGACAAACCTAGAAACATAATCGGGGCGAACCGGGATTCGAATCATAGGTTTCTGGCGTGCCCAGGGGAAATTATTCGTTTATGTATTGTTTCATTAATCTTTATTATAAGAAAGCAGAAATACAGAAAAGGCGTTGGGTAAGTCTATGTAATTTAGGCAGCATTTCTCCGATAATACACACGTATGCATACATGTCGATATATGTACCCACGTATTACATACGGATGTCACTAAACTAACGGGGTAAGAAACTATACGCCTATGTTTATTGGTGGCTAAAACAAGAAATGGTTATTCGATGATGATGATGATGATGATGATGATGATGATCTGATTTGACAGAGTATCATAGTTGTTTTTGAGCTTAAGTGTGCAGTGTCTCGGCCGTTGTTTGGAGCCAAAGTAAGGTGAGGTGAAATAATGGGGTTTAACGTCGCGTTCAAGATTATTGCACTTATAAAGCGACGTGTGTGCATTCGTGCGTGCGTGCGAGCGTGCGTGTGGCTGCTTGTACTAGTCCGGACTTTATAGTGTTAGCCCACTGAGGTACCAAGCCGCAGTTTAACATGAATACCCACTCAGACTCAGTTTTCTGACTTCGAGCCGACCAGTCCTTGTTTTAATCCCTTAATGCCGAGCGCCAGATAGGGTGACAACAATAAGCGTCATAAAACGTATTTTTGTATGACGCGGTCGGCATGATCAAACCAACTGCCTTCACTCTCCTGGCAGACGCTCTACCCACTAGACCACGGAGGCGGTCTTCAACCTGAGTTGTAATGTGGAGGGCAAATATATATAGTCGTTATCATACCCATTAGACGGCAGCCAAAAGGCTATTACGTGACGTAGGCTCTGACACGAGGTCCACGTAATGAATGGGGTTAGCCAGTTACCTGATTGGGACGATAATACAACCTTTCTGTATGGGGTGCATGTCAATTGCAAAGAATAATTGTGTTCGAGATACTTATAATTGCAGGGTTTTCTTGAGGTCTCGTCACCCCCTGCCGAGAATTCACATAATTGAACTTAAGTCTAGATCTGCGTGATATTCTGATCCTGCGTGTTCCCGAAGACTTGAAGTTTGTTGGTTTTTGTTTAACGCCGCACTCAGCAATACTCCAGCTGTATGACAGCGGTCTGTAAATAATCGAGTCAGGACCAGACAATCCAGTGACTGACGTTATGAAAATCGACCTCCGCAAATGGATACGATGAAATACATTAACCAAGTCAGCGAGCCTGACAACCCGATCCCGTTAGTCGCTTCTTACCACAAGCATAATAGCTTCTTCCTACGACAAGCATGGGTTGCTGAAGACCTGTTCTAACTCGGATCATCATGCCCAGTATGTTATGAAGACTTACTGATGATAGTATTTTCAGCAGCAAAATATAAGTAAACACTAGCCAGTCCTATTAAATATTTTGTTTTTCAAGGCATATACGCACAGAATGAGAAGGCCAAATATGTAAAAGAAATTGTTTTAAAAGATTAAAACAGGTACCTTGTCAGCGATCTCTACAAAAATATCAAATGTTTATGTGGTTTAGTGCCTGAAATCAGTCTTTAAATAAAAGTTTTATATAAAATATAAATGGAGATAAGCATTTACTTTAATCAAACACGACATTCTATTCATGTTCGTTAGAAATAATTCCAAATTATGTATAAATTTGAATTAAGAAATAAAATATTTCCGACCTGAAATATAATAAATACATTAAATTTAAATTTAAGACAGAGATTTAAAATTTAGGAAAAATATCTGAATGGTTGTTTGTTAACCAGCCTTACGAATGTACAACTACTTCATAGCAGCCTGTATTTAATAGATTACAAATCGGTTAAACTAATGGTTTATTATGAAGGAAATTAACTACACCATTGAGAGTACGACGAGGCACTTGATCACCATGTCACAAGCAGTGCCCAACTGATCCTCATTTCGACAATCCTTATGTACTTGGGATTTGTTCCGCCCAGGAATCCCCATTGGGATTTTATAGATATATAATTGAACCATTCCTCTTAATATTTTTATCTTATTTGTTCGTTTTATTTTTTCACAGAAAAGGTTAACCCGGTGAAATTCCGGCATCAGGATGACGTCATTGAGAATGACGTCGCGGACGAAAGGAGGAAATTGGAGGGCGTGTACCAGTACCGCCACCTATCGGATGAAGACAGAGAATTGGTGGATTGTCTCCTCTTGGGTACTCTCTCAAAGGATGAGATTCCACGGCCCAAATCTAAGGTCGTCAAAATATTCATCAGCTCAACCTTTACAGGTATACTTGTTTGTTTGTTTGTTTGTTTGTTGTTTCACGCCGCACTCCACAGCAACATTCCAGTTGTATGATGGCGGTCTGTAAATAATCGAGTCTGGACCAGACAATCCAGTGAATGATGTCATGAGCATCGATCCAAGGAATTGGGACACGATGGCATGCATCAACCAAGTCAGCGAGCCTGACCACCCGATCCCGTTAGTCGCTTCTTACGATAAGCAAAGTCGCCTTTTACGGTATGCATGGGTTGCTGAAGACCTATTCTAACCCGGATCTAAAAGGGGCTTACAGGTAATGCATTGTTGATTAAAGAACATATACCACTGTGTTTGTAAACGTGTATCAGTAGTATGTCTCTTGTGCTGAGGCAGCCTCCGTGGCGTAGGGGATAGAGTGCTTGCCTTGAGAGCCGAAGAACGGTGGTTCGTTCCTCTGGCAGCGTCATACGAAAAGACGTTAAATGTCGATACTTGTTGTTACCCTGTTTGGCGCTCGGCATTTGAGATAAAACAAGGACTGGTCTGCTCGGAGTATACTGTGTCTAAGTGGGGTACTCATGTTAAACTGAGACATGGTATCTCAGTGGGCAAGCACTATAAAACCGGACTAGTACCAGCAGCCACACACACCGTGCATCTACTTCGCTATATAAGTGCGTGGCGGTCGGGTAGCCTAGTGGTTCAAGCGTTCGCTCGTCACTCCGAAGACCCGGGTTCGATTCCCGACATGGGTACAATGTGTGAAGCCCATTTCTAGTGTCCCCCGCCGTGATATTGCGGGGATATTTCTAAAAGCGGCGTAAAACCATACTCCCTCACTCACTATATAAGTCAATAATGCGGCGTTGAACCTCCCCTTTATGCTGTATCAGTAATGATGTAGTAGTACTGAAATATGAGAATGCTGGAATAGTATTCTGTCACCATAATTTCACAGCAGTAGAGATGTTTCCTCGTGTTGCAGACATGACCCAGGAGCGGAACGCTCTGGCTGAAACAGTGTACCCCAAGCTCCGACAGTACTGCAGACACAAGCATGGTTTGGACTTCCAGGTACGGGGAGGTAACATATGTAGGATGGGAGGTAACATATGTAGGATGGGAGGTAACATATGTAGGATGGGAGGTAACATCTGTAGGATGGGAGGTTACGCATGTAGGGTGGGAGGTAACATATGTAGGATGGGAGGTAACATCTGTAGGATGGGAGGTTACGCATGTAGGGTGGGAGGTAACATATGTACAGTGGGAAGTAACATATGTAGGGTGGGAGATTACACATGTAGGGTGGGAGGTAACATATGTAGGATGGGAGGTTACACATGTGGGGTGGGAGGTGACATATGTAGGTTGGGAGGTAACATATGTAGGATGGGAGGTGACATATGTAGGGTGGGAGGTGACTGATGAAGGGTATGAGGTGATATATGTAGGGTGGGAGGTAACAATTGTAGGATGGGAGGTAACATGTGTAGGATGGGAGGCAACATATGTAGGATGGGAGGTGACATATGTAGGATGGGAGGTAACATATGTAGGTTGGGAGGTGACCGATGAAGGGTGGGAGGTGACATATGTAGGATGGGAGGCAACATATGTAGGATGGGAGGTAACGGTTGTAGGATGGGAGGTAACAATTGTAGGATGGGAGGTAACAATTGTAGGATGGGAGGTAATAGATGTAGGATGGGAGGTAATAGATGTAGGATGGGAGGCAACATATGTAGGATGGGAGGTAACGGTTGTAGGATGGGAGGTAAAATATTAACACTCAATGCCAGGGTGAAAGGCGGGCTGTTAGTAATACACTGTTCTCTTCTTGCAGGCCGTGGACATGAGATGGGGAGTTCCCCCCGAAGCCAGTGACGACCACACGGCCGCCAACCACTGCCTCGCGGAGCTCAGACACTGTCAGGAGCTGTCGATCGGACCCAACTTTGTGGTAAACAAAGACAATACGAAATATCTGATACATATGATACAATGTTTATTCATCATATTTAGACCAACAGTGACCAACTCGCAGCAACTTTATCAGTCACCACACAGATGCACATTATATATTTTCGGACAACAAAATGTGAAAGCTTGTTCAAACGATGTACAAGAAAGTACTTGAATGGAATGTACTAACCATTGAGCTTAAAATATATGATATTGTTCAAGGAATACATCCTCATCTAAACTAAACATTCGGGAGTACTATTTTTGGAATCGTTTGTTAACACTTTAAACAAGGAACATTCAAATATTTACCAGCAATAACGTCTTTTCACACAAGATTTCGTTTTTTTAGGCTTTCGTGGGTCAGCGGTACGGGTCTTGCCCCCTACCGGCTGCAATTATCAGAGCCGAGTTCGAAGCCATCCGTGCAAACCTTGAGACCTCTAGTAAAGACGTCACGCTCCTAGACACGTGCTATCTCAAGGACCAGAACTCGCTCCCAGCCGTGTACAGATTGCAACCTGCCAGTAAAATAAAAGGTAACGATTGCAAAGACTGATTATAGGATCTGGTGAAACTGGACTGAGTGGAGTGGAACGCCACTTGAAAACATTTCAAGTTTTATCACGGAATGTCGGTTTATCATTGTTGTGTACCGCTCGCGAAACGGGTCCAGAGGTCTAGTGGCTTTAATTTAATTTAATTTAATTTAATTTCTGTCGCGGTTATATATATATTGTATATAAATAACGTCATACTATGTTAGAGTGCATTGTGACGTCAAAACAGCGTAACGGTATAACTGTACTCTTGAAAATCACATGCGTGAAACCGGTTGAGTAAATTATACAGCTCATCTTTGGACTTTTGTATTTTATATATAAATGGCATTTAGTAGACATTTGAGACTTTTATGAAAACCACGACCGTGGGGTAGAGCTAACACACCAAGGGTCGATATCAGGCTGAATCAAACCAACAGTCAGCCGTTCCAGACACGGCTAAGGGAGGCTACCACGAAATATGGCGCTTTCGATAAAGTTATTGATGCAGGCATTGATTAAGATATTGATAAAGGTATCAATACTGGTATTGATGAAAGTATTATAACAGTATTGATGAATGTATTGGTAAAGTTATAGCCGCATTGATAAAGGTATTGATACAGGCAATGATTGAGATATTGTTAAGGAATGAATACTGGTATCGATGAAGATATTGGCAACAGTATTTATGAATGTAATAACGGGATTTTGGTCAATGTCTTTAAAAGAATATCAATAAAGGCATTGATAAAGGTTTTGATACAGACATTGATTAAGGTATTGATCAAGGTATCAATACTGGTATTGCTGGAGGTATTGGTGAAAGGATTGTTGAATGTATTGGTAACAGTATTCATGAATATTTTGATTAAGATATTGGCGATTGTATTTCAAAAGAAAGGTTTTGATACAGACATTAATTAAGATATTGATCAAAGTATCAATACTGGTATTTACGGAAGCGTAGTAGGGCAACGGAGAATCTTTTTTTGTCTAATTATCTCCTACGTAGGACTTAGTATCTCCTACGTAGGACTTAGTATCTCCTACGTAGGAGATAGGAAGTCCTACGTAGGAGATATGAAGTCCTAGTAAGTCCTACGTAGGAGATACTAACTCCTACGTGGGAGATACTAAGCCCTACGTAGAAGATACTAAGTCCTACGAAGGAGATACTTAAACGTCACCGTGGCCCCACTACGCTGCCGTACTTCTATAGGTATTGGTGAAGGTATTGATGAAGGTTTTAGTAGAGGTATGGATTAAACTATTGATAAGGGTGTGACAATGGCATTGGTCAAGGAATTGATTGAGATGTGGATAAAGGTACTAATATAGGCGTTGATTAAGATATTGATACAGGCATTGGTACAGTGTTACCATTGTATATTTATGTTATGAAATTACTTTGTCTTGTAACACTCTTTGTCTTTTCTTTCAGAGAAGACTGGCCGCCTGTGGTGCAGTATAGCGGGGGACATACGAGAGGTGTTATTTCGGGGTGCTCAGAGAGCCGTGGAAGCTTCGGAACTCTCTAAGGAATCATTCCGACTTCTCAAATCTTCAGGTGTGTGCTGGGTGTGTTAAATCGTCAGACATCTATGATCGTTCGAATCCTGTTTCCCCCCAATTATGTTTCTAGGATGTCAGCAACACACACGTGCTCGTGGGTTTCACCGAAGTGGTAAACGTCTGAGACCTGCATCACTTCGGGCTTTCCTCCAACATTAAGCTGACACGCCATGATATGACTGGAATACTGTTTAAAACAGCGTTACCTCACCCACTCACACACCCACTCACTCCTGAGCCAATAGCCCCCAAATGCCCCCTATATGTTGTTAGAGATTACTTATGAGGACCGTGCAGTGACCTAGCTGGCCCCGGCGTGGTACATGCTCTGTGATACTGATAGTGTGTACAATGAGCTGACTAGGCCAGGTCCAGACTCTGTGATACTGATAGTGTGTACAATGTTCTGACTAGACCAGGTACATGCTCTGTGATACTGATAGTGTGTACAATGAGCTGACTAGGCCAGGTACAGGCTCTGTGATACTGATAGTGTGTACAATGTTCTGACTAGACCAGGTACAGGCTCTGTGATACTGATAGTGTGTACAATGAGCTGACTAGGCCAGGTACAGGCTCTGTGATACCGATTGTGTGTACAATGTGCTGTCTAGGCCAGGTACAGGCTCTGTGATACTGATAGTGTGTACAATGTGCTGACTAGGCCAGGTCCAGACTCTGTGATACTGATAGTGTGTACAATGTGCTGACTAGACCAGGTACAGGCTCTGTGATACTGATAGTGTGTACAATGTTCTGACTGGGCTAGGTACACTTGCGTCCCTTTAGGCACGCCAGAAACCTATGATTGTGGGTTCGAATCCCGGTTCGTCCCGATTATGTTTCTAGGTTTGTCAACACCACGCCCGTGCTCGTGGGCGTTAAACCCAACTCACTCGCTCACTCACTCACTCACTCTTGTCAAATAACACGTTTATATCAGCTCGTGACATGGGCAATTGATAATTTCACCTATAGGTCACTCAGTGAGACAAGGATGTTATTTGACGGAAGAGAAGAACCAATTTAGATTATCTGCCGAAACAGACTCCATTGGGAGTAAATGGTAAAAATAGCTTTGGAAATTATATGAATAGCTCACTAAAAACCCGTGATGACACCAGGTGTTCGCCAGGAGTCCTACCCTAACTTCCGCCACTCACACAATTAGCATTTAAAGAATGACACATATCTTTTACACACACGAATGTTAAAATAAAAATATTCTATGGGGTTCAGAGTATGAATTTAACATTAATCGTCACAATCTTACCTCGCTACGAAAGTCCTGAATATTTGAGCTTTTTGTTGTATGTCAATGAATAGTGTGTAATTGTTGCCAGGATTGTACCAATGGTAAACTTTAAGCCAGTATAACCTTTCCTCAATAGGCCCTGTCGTCTGACGTGTCGCAATTAGCTGTTCAGAGTTGCGTCCCTTGGGCACGCAAAAACCTTTATTATCGTCAGTTAAATCCCGATTCGTCCCGATTGTTTCTAGGTTTGTCAGCACCATAGCCGTGCTTATGGGTTTCACCAAAGTGTAAAACGTCTGGGACCTGCTCACCCTTCCACATTAAGTGAGTGAGTGAGTTGGGTTTAACGCCGCTTTTAACAGTATTCCAGTCATATCACGGCGTGTCAGCTTAATGTGGGGGGAAAGCCCGAAGTGATGCAGGTCTCAGACGTTTACCACTTCGGTGAAACCCACGAGCACGAGCATGGTGCTGACAAACCTAGAAACATAATCGGGGCGAACCGGGATTCGAACCCACAATCATAGGTTTCTGGCGTGCCTAAGGGACGCAACTCTGCACAGCGAATCGCGGCGCCTTAGACCACTGGGCCACCCGTACCCCCCTTCCACATTAAGCTTACAGGCCGTGATATAACTCAACTGGAAGTTCAAAGTGGCGTCACATCCAACTCACTCACACAATAAAACTGATAGAACGGATCTCTTTAATAATGGTTGCCCTATTAATTACTCGGGGTTTTACACAAGGCAGACATGTGCAACCAGTGCGCCCCACTGCATAGAAGGGACGCCGATAAATACAATATTGCATCCCGAGGGTCGCACAGTAATATTCATTCCATCAAATTCTTCACAAGAAATATATTGTTCCTGTTATTAAATTAAATTATTAAATTATCAATTTTTACAGTACAGTACACTTGACCAGGACCCTCATATTTTCAGTAAGGACTCTTGGAATTAATTATTGACCCCTAGTTTTGTAGGTCAAGGTAAAACCTTGCGGGTATCTCATTCGCCCCCTGCTTCTTTCAGTGACAGAGATGGAGATCTACGACGGTCTGATTAACATCGCCAGGGAGAAAGACCGCCAGTCCAACTGTCTGCTGTACTTGAGGGATATAGAAGGACTAGACACAGACAGCGATCCTAAGATCGTCCGGCGCTTCCTGGACCTCCATCCAGACACCTTACAACCAAACGAGACTGCAGCCAATGCTCTGACAGAGCTGCGAGGACGATGTACCAAGAAGGTAACCAACCAGAACATGTTGAAGATGTCCGTGAAGTGGGAGAAAGATGGAATATGTCCTGTCACACATAATGACTACATACAGACCCTGTGTAATCACTTCTATGCTACGGTGAAGCTCATGGTGGATCGGAACATGGCTAAGAGGAACAAACTCCAGGATGATGACCTCTACAATGAAGTGGTCCAGCATTGGACGATTGCTAGAAACAGATGCCAAACCTTTGTAGGCAGGGCTCCGATGATTCAGAGCATCAGGGGGTACCTAGAAGCGCAAACAGACCAAGCCTTAGTCGTGCATGGGGAATCTGGCAGTGGAAAGACGTCACTGATGTCCAAGGCTGTTTCTGTGGTCAGTGAAGTGGTGTCCCAGAACGAGAACGAGATGAAGATGGTGACTGTGGTCCGGTTTGTTGGCACAACGCCCGAAAGCTCCTCCAGCCACCAACTGCTGTATTCCGTGTGCCACCAACTTGCGTACATCAGCAAGCAACACAGATCCGATGTCCCCGAGGACTATACAAGTCTGAAGATGTACTTCAGGGACGTCGTACAGAAAGGCAATTTCAGTGGAGTTGTGATTTTATTCCTTGATGCTTTAGACCAACTATCGCCAGCAAACGGGGCACACACTTTGGACTGGCTTCCATCAAGGCTTGCGCCAAATGTGAAGCTTATTGTGTCCACGTTGCCAGAGAAACATGGTATTTTGGACAAATTACGGAACAAAATTGCCCATAACTTCTTAGAAGTGTCACCTCTTCCACAAACAGATTGCAAGCAGGTAATGAGGGCACTGTTGGAACATTCGGGGAGGGCGATTTCCTATCCTCAGTGGAGAATAGTTGAAAAAGCCTTTACATTTTGTACATTACCTCTATTCATCACACTCACCTTCCAAGAAGCCATTAGATGGAACTCTTATGATGATCTGCCACCCGATGCCCTTCTACACACAGTGGAGGCAAGCATCAACCGATTGTTCGACAGGCTGGAGAAGACATATGGAAAAATGTTTGTTTCTAGAGCGCTGGGATATATCACGGCTGCGAGGAATGGTCTCAGTATGTCTGAACTGGATGATATTTTGTCTTTGGATGAGGATGTCCTGAACAGTGTCTTCACCCTCTGGGAACCGCCAATCAGAAGGATTCCTTCCAATCTCTGGCCACGCCTCTACTTGGACATTTCCTCTTTCCTAGTAGAACAGGAGGCGGATGACATTGTGGTGCTGTCCTGGTATCATACCCAATTCGTCAGGGCGGCAATGTCAAGATATCTGTCAAACGTTGAGGAACGCATGCTCATACATAGAAACATTGCTGAGTATTATCTCGGGACTTGGAGTGGAACAATGAAAAAACCCTTTGTGTATCAGCAAAGATTGATGGCACGTCTGAAAAAGACAGACCCACACAGCGCAGCTTGCAGACATGTTCCCGAGCAGCCCCTGATCTTCAAAACCAGTGAAACGTGTGAGAGATACAACCTCCGCAAAATGAACCAATTGCCATACAGTCTTGTTCAGAGTGAGCAAATAGACCGGCTAAAGAAGGAGTGCTTTTGTAACTTTGACTGGCTGTATGCCAAACTCAAGGCAGTATCACTGCAGCAGATTCTAGGTGATTTCTCAATGTTCCACGACAGAGAAACAAGCTTTGTAGCTGATGCACTTCGTATGTCTGGATCTGCTCTCAAGATTGATCCAAACGCTCTTGGTACGGAGATTTCCGGGCGCCTTCTACCTCATATTCACCATTACCCAATTATCAGAGACCTTGTTAGACAGTGCGATCTGAGGTCTCAGCACCAATGTCCCCTGGTACCACACTTCCAGATCTATAGCGTGCCAGGGGGCCCTCTGCAGTATGAGTGGGAGATAGATGGAACAATCCGGTCAGCAGTGGATGTTGATGTCTTCAACAGCCCCGATGGCATTCTAATGACTGCTAAACCCTACTACAGCAAGACTCTGAAGGTATGGGAGTTAACCCAAGGGGAACCGAGACAAGATATGCAGATGCCCATTGGGGAGATACATCCAAGTAAAGATGGAAAATATCTCAACATCTTCTCCAGGAATCGTATTGTGACGATTTACAAATCGGATTGTGGGGAAGTCCATGCTTCTGTGGATTTTGGTTATGGTGAAGTTGCTCATGTGAACATATCCAACCAATACATTGCCTTCACAACACGACATAATGCTAGTCCTTGTGTTATAGACATTGCCAAAGGAAAGGTTCTGCATAGATTCCCCTGTAGGAGCAATGCAGTGGCCATCAGCCCAAACGAAAGATACATAGTGTTCAATGCAGACAGGAATATTATGTTGTACTCTTTGCCTCTAATGGAAAGAAAGTGTGTAGGTCAAGCCAATGATGAACCTATGCAGATTGCTTTCAGTGACGCTCACATGAAGTGCTATGTTCTCACCAAAACAAGACTGTTCCAAACCATCCATTTTGACGTTGTAAACAGAGTCTCAACGACTTCTGGCATAGTTGAGGATATGGAGATAAAGGAGTTTAAAATATCACATCTTGAGCATAGGATTCTTGTCCGGAGTTCCCGTTGTCTGTATCTCGTTGACACAGCCACAGAGACAATTATACATAGGCTGCAGAGGATGCCTCCAGGGGTTTTCGTGAAGACCATGACATCTTTCACGGGAGCTGGTTTCACACCAAAGGATGATCTAGTGGTAGCCTCAAGGGACACGTACATCGCAGTGTGGGAGACCGAGACGGGAACACCTATCAGACTTCTTCAAGCATCGGTGTCCCCAATAGTGAAGATCTTCACTTCAGATACCTTGAACAAGGCAGTAGCCCTACTCAGAGACAACACTCTTCAAGTGTGGGATCTGGACAATTTGGATGCTGATGTTCAACATTCTAACGAAGTCATGTCTACCACAGTAAGGTCTGTGGCAGTTTCATCCACCACCAGGAGAGTTCTATGTCATGGAACTAGGTACCCAGAGGCCAAAATACTGGACATTGAAACGGGTAATATTAAAGCTGTTCTCCAGCATACATGTGATTTGGAAGACAAAATTTTGGATTGTGAACTATCGCCTTTGGGCCTATTTGCTGTAACAAAGGCTCATCTGGCTGAGAAGGGAGAATATAGCAAAGGGTTTAAGACCATTCTCACTGATGACATTGTTTGGAATATGAGCACTCAAGAAAAGATCCACCACGCACCATCCAATAGGTACATAGTATTCAACACCATCAATTCCATTATAGCAGTTGTCCAGTGCGTGTTTTACAGTTCCATTGACTGGACATGCAACACATACCACGTGAAGGTGATTCAACCAGATGTGATTGAGGAAGAACAACCTGAATTCTCAATCCCACTGATGTCCGAGTTTGTGTGCAAGCCAGTCCTACTGTCTATCAGAGAGGGCGAGGGTGTGTTCCATACCTTCTATACAGTTCTGCAGTTCTGTAAGAAGGAACTACACCCTGTCACTAAGGGAGAACTGTCAAGGAGTTGCTATATGAGACTCTACACGCGGACTCTTTTGAGTAAACAACCCGATGAGAAGATCCTCTGTGTCAAAGACTTTCTGAAGCATGCTGATCCAAATGATCAGTTTGTGGACGTGCGGATCATTGATGGGAACAAACTCCTGATGATATATTCGAAGGATCCAGTCACAGCTTTCTTTGACAAAGAGACAGGACTGGTTCTCTCAGACGCTTCTCACAAGGCTGCTGTAGTGTACGATCCTGAGACGCAAACCATCATTCGACACCTTCTCCACATTGTGAAGCCAGACTCCCTCCTCAGCCAAACAGTTATCTCGCGTCTTAGTTCCGTTATAGTGGATGATCAGCTAAGAGTCTTTGACCATCATGAAAACAAACTGAGAACAGAGATCAAAACAAAGTTTGCCGACGGATGTCACAGGCTTGCCCTTGATGGTGCTTACATCGTAGGAATATCTCATGATCTTCGTTCAGTGATTGTGGTGCGGTCTGTAGATGGGGAACAAAAGGGTCGTCTGTTCATCCATGGGAAGGCAACTTGTATTGAAGTCGCTGAAGATGATCGGACAGTTGTGGTTGGATGTTATGACGGTCGGGTGATGATACTGAGCCTTGTTCTGGGGCTCAGTGATCCCGTGACTGAGTTAATTGATAAACTCCCGAGTAGAATCCCACTTAAAGGTCAACAAGAACCACTGGTCAATGGAGACATCAGGCACATGCAGCGGTCATTGCCAGAACTCACTCGACTTGCTATGAAGTTGAAAGAAGATGCAGAAAAGCATGAGAGACGACAAACATCGTTCAGAGCTCTTGCCACAAGTGTGACTGTACTTAACAAAGTCAGGATGAGATCCCAGGCGTGTTCTCTACAATGAAATCTTACTTCACTGGAATGATGATAACGTAACACTGCCAAAAGATGTTATCTTGTAACTTGAGTGTACTCGATCTAACATTCCTATGATTATTCCTGCCTGGCCTTTATACTATGCATTAGTGGACATCAGTACAATTGTGTCATGCCACCAGTGGCCATCAGGTCATTCAACAGTGGATACGAGGATCATCAGGTCATGCATCAATGGATATCAGGACAATTGTGTCATACACCAGTTGATACCAGGACGATCAGGTCAAGAATCAGTAGATGCCATCGGGCCATTCAACAGTGGATATCTGGACCATCAGGTCATGCATCAATGGATATGAGGACCATCGGGTCATGCATCAATGGATTTCAGAACAATTGTGTCATGTCATGCAGTGGATACCAAGTGGATCATCATTTCATGCATCAGTGATAATAGATCATCAGGTCATGCATCAGTGGATCCATTACCATCAGGTCAAGAATCAGTGGATACTAGGACAATCAATCATGTCATGCCTCAGTGGTTCCAGGACCCTCAGGTCAAGCATTAGTGAATACCCGGACTAGCATGTCATGCATCAGTCGAGACCATCATGTCATGCATAAATGGATACCAGGTCAATCAATCGTGTCATGCATCAGTGGATCCAGGACCATCAGGTCATGCATCAGTGGATACCAAGACCATCAGGTCATGCATCAGTGGATACCAGGACCATCAGTGGATACCAGGACCATCAGTTCATGCATCAGTGGAAACCAGGACCATCAGTTCATGCATCAGTGGAACCAGGACCATCAGGTCCTGCATCAGTGGATACCAAGACCATCAGGTCATGCATCAGTGGATACCAGGACCATCAGTGGATACCAGGACCATCAGTTCATGCATCAGTGGAAACCAGGACCATCAGGTCATGCGTCAGTGGAAACCAGGACCATCAGGTCATGCGTCAGTGGATACCAGGACCATCAGGTCATGCATCAGTGGATACCAGGACCATCATGTCATGCGTCAGTGGATACCAGGACCATCAGGTCATGCATCAGTGGATACCAGGACCATCAGGTCATTCATCAGTGGAAACCAGGACCATCAGGTCATGCGTCAGTGGATACCAGGACCATCAGTTCATGCATCAGTGGATACCAAGACCATCAGGTCATGCTTCAGTGGATACCAGGACCATCGGGTCATGTATCAGTGGATACCAGGACCATCGGGTCATGCATCAGTGGATACCAGGACAATCGGGTCATGCATCAGTGGATACCAGGACTAGCATGTCGTGCATAAATGGATACCAGGTCAATCAATCGTGTCATGCATCAGTGGATCCAGGACCATCAGGTCATGCATCAGTGGATACCAAGACCATCAGGTCATGCTTCAGTGGATACCAGGACCATCGGGTCATGCATCAGTGGATACCAGGACCATCAGGTCATTCATCAGTGGAAACCAGGACCATCAGGTCATGCGTCAATGGAAACCAGGACCATCAGTTCATGCATCAGTGGATACCAGGACCATCAGTTCATGCATCAGTGGATACCAGGAACATCAGGTCATGCGTCAATGGATACCAGGACCATCAGGTCATGCATCAGTGGATACCAGGACCATCAGGTCATGCATCAGTGGATACCAGGACCATCAGGTCATGCATCAGTGGATAAAAGGACCATCAGGTCATGCATCAGTGGATACCAGGACCATCAGGTCATGCATCAGTGGATACCAAGACCGTCAGGTCTTTCATCAGTGGATACCAGGACTAGCATGTCATGCATCAATGGATAACAGGACAATCAGGCCATTGATCAATGGATGCCAGGACCATCAGGTCATTTGTGGTTACCAAGACCCAAATGACATGCAATCTCAAAGCTTTTAGCAACACCTGAAGGGATCTTGATCTTTATCTTTCCTCAATTGTCTCTTGGCAAAACGGATGGTGAAGCGTAAACTATTTCCGAAATGTCAGTCTCACACAAGTTATGAAGCAGAAAAGGAGACCATACCATCCTCGATAGTCATTGCCCAACGGGAGAGACGTGACTGTCAGTAGCTGTAACGACAACAAATATCGCATTTACTGGACATTTCAACGTTCTCAAAATTAACATTTCGATTTCCCATAATTAGAATGAGGATGATAACAGAACTCGATCGGGCTTTTAAAAAAACCACAAACTTCTGAACTAGGCTCTGTCTAGTCTTACTGTGGGCCCATCAAAGCTGGCTGTGATACGCATATATATAACATAAGTGGTCGATTATCTTTAACATAATGTTTAATGTACGTGTCTTGTTTGTGAAGTCTGGGTTTCTTGTCAGACAGTAAACATTTTAGTCACTGCTACGAGAGGCCGAACCAGTTTACTTTGTAACAACACATCAGTTCAACACAGAATACTACCTAATACCTTAGTTTAACAAAGGTCACTTGTCATATGTATGTTTGTGTGCATATCTTAACTGTATTGTTTAGATAATGAAATATATGAATAACACATACGCTGTTTTGTGTGAAATGTTATTACATTTTGCAAAAACGAGGTACCAATTTGCATTTCTTGTTTTTTATTTAGGTTATGTTACGTAGCCTACTGGGGTACGAATAAATGCACTTTCCCACATCGGAATGTGTCTATTGTTTTGTACAGTTCCTTGGGTAGAGTTCCCAAGTATTGGGCAGTGGGGTAGCAAAGTGGTTAAAGCGTTTGCTCGTCACAGCGAAGACCCGGGTTCGATTCTCCACCGTGGTACAATGTTCGTGTCTCTCCAACGGTGATATCGCTGGAATATTGTTTAGTCCGGCGTAAAACCATAACCACTCACTCACTCACTCCATGCTCGTCATAAGTCGAATAAGGGATCGGGAGCACTGGCGTTTGTCAGACACAAAACCTGTTTTGCCTAGTGTTCGCTCGTCACGCCGAAGACCCGGGTTCGATTCCCGACATGGGTACAATGTGTGAAGCCCATTTCTGGTGTCCCCCGCCGTGATATAGCTGGAATATTGCTAAAAGCGGCGTAAAACCTCACTCACTCACTCAAACCCTGTTTTTCAGTCACTGCTTCAAGGCTTACAATTGGGTTTTTTCGAAGCAATTGTCCTTTTCACAACAAATCCAGTATGCCAAGCGAGCAACTTGTCCTGGAGAAAGGTTTCACCCGTGTGCCTGGCAGCGCCAAATCCATGTTCACCAAAGTCGTAAATGCCCATAACCTGAGTAAACTATGGCTTTCTTCCTACATGAACCTGACACGTCGAGATATAATCGAGGTAATTATGTTAAAGGCTCACTCACCATAGAACTATATATGTTACAGGAAATATGTATAATCAGGGAATATGTATAATCCCTGAAATTTTCAGGAATATATTTAATGTCTGATTCACTCAGGGAAGATACATAATCCCTAAATCTTTCAGGTATTATACACATTCCCTGATTTGTTTTTTTTTATTAAGTTTGACCAGATAAGAGCCTCAAAAGTAATTTCAGGGAATATGTCTAAAAAACTTGATGTTAAATAAATCAACATTAAATCAACATATCTGCCCTTGAATCCCTTGGGGACACAAACATAAGACACTGGGGTGATATATGCCCCCAAAACCCTTGGCAACACAAACATAAGACACTGGGGACATATACGCCCCAGAATCCCTTGGGGACACAAACATAAGACACTGGGGACCTATACGCCCTAGAATCCCTTGGGGACACAAACATAAGACACTGGGGACCTATACGCCCCCAAAGCCCTTGGCAACACAAACATAAGACACTGGAGACCTATACGCCCCAGAATCCCTTGGGGACACAAACATAAGACACTGGGGACCTATACGCCCCCAAAACCCTTGGGGACACAAACATAAGACACTGGGGACATATACGCGCCAGAATCCCTTGGGGACACAAACAACAGACACTTGGGACCTATACGCCCCAGAATCCCTTGGCAACACAAACATAAGACACTGGGGACATATCTACCCCAGAATCCCTTGGGGACACAAACATAAGACACTGGGGACCTATACGCCCCCAAATCCCTTGGGGACACAAACATAAGACACTGGGGACCTATCTGCCCCAGAATCCCTTGGGGACACAAACATAAGACACTGGGGACCTATCTACCCCAGAATCCCTTGGGGACACAAACATAAGATACTGGGGACATATACGCCCCAGAATCCCTTGGCAACACAAACAAAAGACACTGGGGACATATACGCCCCAGAATCCCTTGGTAACACAAACATAAGACACTGGGGACATATGCGCCCCAGAATCCCTTGGCAACACAAACATAAGATACTGGGGACATATACGCCCCAGAATCCCTTGGCAACACAAACATAAGACACTGGGGACCTATCTACCCCAGAATCCCTTGGGGACACAAACATAAGACACTGGGGACCTATACGCCCCAGAATCCCTTGGCAACACAAACATAAGACACTGGGGACCTATACGCCCCAGAATCCCTTGGGGACACAAACATAAGACTCTGGGGACCTATACGCCCCAGAATCCCTTGGGGACACCAACATAAGACACTGGGGACCTATCTACCCCAGAATCCCTTGGGGACACAAACATAAGACACTGGGGACATATACGCCCCAGAATCCCTTGGCAACACAAACATAAGACACTGGGGACATATACGCCCCAGAATCCCTTGGCAACACAAACATAAGACACTGGGGACCTATACGCCCCAGAATTCCTTGGCAACACAAACATAAGACACTGGGGACATATACGCTCCAGAATCCTTTGGCAACACAAACATAAGACACTGGGGACCTATCTACCCCAGAATCCCTTGGGGACACAAACATAAGACACTGGGGACCTATACGCCCCAGAATCCCTTGGCAACACAAACATAAGACACTGGGGACCTATACGCCCCAGAATCCCTTGGGGACACAAACATAAGACTCTGGGGACCTTTCTGTCCCAGAATCCCTTGGGGACACAAACATAAGACACTTGGGGACCTATACGCCCCAGAATCCCTTGGGGACACAAACATAAGACACTGGGGACCTATCTACCCCAGAATCCCTTGGGGACACAAACATAAGACACTGGGGACCTATACGCCCCAGAATCCCTTGGCAACACAAACATAAGACACTGGGGACCTATACGCCCCAGAATCCCTTGGGGACACAAACATAAGACACTGGGGACCTATACGCCCCAGAATCCCTTGGGGACACAAACATAAGACACTTGGGACCTATACGCCCCAGAATCCCTTGGGGGCACAAACATAAGACACTGACAACATAGCTGCCCTGGACACAAAGATAAGGTATGAGGACCTATCTGAACTAGAATCCAACGGGACACAAACATAATATATTGGTGTCCTTTCCCCGAATATCAAGCAAGACCTATGAGAAGGGAATAAATAGATAGATTTAAATCAGAGGACAAAATACAGTGCACCAATATTTACAGAGATCCGGGGAACTCTGACCCAAGTTATCTCAAGAAATACTAACTTTTTAAGTGGTAGAACCAGACAGCAGTGAATATGCCCTCTGTTACTCCGCAGTTCGATGGAGAATGCAGACACTCTGGCTTCAAGCCAGCACGAGTAACCGGCCTTGTCACGCGAGGGTAGCGTGATGTGAGCATGCCTTGTGTGAAAAAAGCTAGCTCATCGCGACGTTGCGTGATCGTTTTGCAGTGCGTACCATTCACCTCTCATTCTATCTGTGGCAGGTTATACTGGATGATCTGAGCTTGAAAATAAAATGCCTTGAGTGGGTGATAAGTGGTTATCTGATATAGAAATAGAGCGTGTCTTTCTGTATTGGACGCATAATTCTTATGTTTTTCAGCACGGGGTCACAGCCCATAGATTTCTGGATTTGTTCAATGTACCATGATCGAAGCGAGATTGTATCTCAACCACTATGTATTCACCTTGCCAGATGAAAAAAAGAAAGTAAACAGGTAAATTTGTGTAAATCACAGTACTTTCGCAAGTGGCATCAATATAAAAACAGTCCGACTGGCTCCAATGAGCACGATGAATTGCAAAATAACTCAAAATTGGGAATAGTCTATTAATTGTCAGGACGGTACACGGCAATGAAAACCCCGTACCCAACAATATTTGTTGTTTGTTATTTTTATTCCCATCACTGGAAAGGTTGTTTAAGAAACTATCATGTTGTTATGTGTACAAGTTGACATCTTTAACGGAGTGTGTGTGTGTGTGTGAGAGGGGGGGGGGGGGGGGGGGGGGGGGGGAAGAGAACAACGGTGGGGGGGGGGGGGGGGGCACAACGGTAGGAGGAACAGCGCAAACATGTACTGCACGTGCTATTTAGTATGGGTCGGTGTTGACACGATGCGCTACTCAGCTGATGTGAAACAGTTGGTTTTTAAGGTGTATGATTTCTTTCAATGTGAAGCAGAAAAAGGAAAACCATTTACATGTAAGGCCTTTAATAAATACTAGAAACGAGCTTCAAAAGCTCTTGGTATGTCTCCTTACAAGCTAATAAATGTTGTCCGTCGACAGGATTCCAACGAAGCAGGTGGGGGTCCGACCACTTAGGGGTGATAAATTAGACGCTTTTCCAGAAAATCAAGAAAGTCAGACGTGCAATTGTTAAACTGCATTCACAAAATAAGTACATGTCACTAAGACTCTTGAAGAAAAACTTTGAAACTTAACATGATTTAATTGTTTCAAAATACAAGCTGTGGCAACTTTTGCAAACATTTGAATACAGATACAAAAGAAGTGGAGATAATAGGGCAGTGTTAAGTGAACGATCTGACGTCCTTCGTCTCCGAAATTGTTTTCTTCGAACCATCAAGCAGAAACTGTGAAGAAGGGTGTGATCCTGTTTTCCTAGATGAGACGTGGGAAAATGCCTCTCACACAGCCAGCACTCAGTGGTACCCAGAGGGAACTGTAAGGAGTCTGGGAGAAAGTTACCAATGGGAAAAAGTGAAAGGCGTATCGTTCTCCTCCCCCTCCCCCCTCCCCCCTCCCAAGTGTATATTTTCCTTTGACAGATTAGTACCATAGCATGTGAAAAAAAATAATATGACATACGTGACAGTGCACCCAAAATGTAAACATGTAAATTGTATTTTCATACACTGGAATAACAGAACGCAACTTGTGTAGAATTAACTCGGCAGATAAGGGTTAAACGATCATTTGATAAAAATATGTGTGATATCACGGCGTTTAAGCGTAGTGGGTGGGGTGGGGTGTAGGGTGGTTGGTCTAGTCCATCACTTTGGGCCTGTATGGTGCTGACAAACCAAGCTTTCATTATCAGAGTAAATCTGAGATTCAAACCCATGATCACAAGATCCCGTCACGCCTGTGGGATGCATTGTGGAGACTAAGAAGGCTGGGCCACCCGTACTACCGCCTCTGCATGTGGAGATACTTGCATATTACACTCATCGGGTGTAGCTACCAACAAAACGCATGGATCCTTGGCGCATTGTCAAGTGTATGATCATCCCATTGCTATGCGTAAGAGATGACTAAATGTAAGCGGGGTAGTGGGCCCGTGTGACACAGCCGATTGGTGTCACCGTGTCCCGATGGTGTAGATCGTTGCCCATGTTTTGTTCCGATTCCATGTCAACAGTGAAAATACCGCTTTCTTTTCATGTCTGGTGCGATTGTGTCGGGACGGAGAAGAAATCAATTAAGTCAACTTTGTTTTATTTTCAAGTTTTGTTGTTTTCATACTTTTTTGTTTAAAGTGACAATCTGTAAGTTTAATGCAACAAATGAAAATTCTAATCTTGCCAGAATAACCACGATCTAATGAACCAAGACATAACCTGAATTAACCAGAACAACTATTAACCCTTTGTGCTCATGGTTATTACTGATTTTTAGAAGATTTTGTCACGTCTAGGAAAAAAAGAAGAATAGCATTTGCACAAATTGTCCATGCAAAGCTCTTAGTCAATCTTTAAGAACATTAACGAGTGGCATATTTTGCTAACATAAACATGTTTGGTTAAGAGGCCATTGAACAATATTTCAGCACCCTGTCAAATTAATGAGAAAGGAGTGAGTGAGTATGGTTTTACGCTGCTTTTAGCAATATTCCAGCAATATCACGGCGGGGGACACCAGAAATGGGCTTCACACATTGTACCCATGTCGGGAATCGAACCCGGGTCTTCGGCGTGACAAGCGAACGCTTGAACCACTAGGCTACCCGACCGCCCCCCTGTCAAATTAATGTGAAAGGAAGCCATGCCAGCCACTGATGTTTTAGAGCAGGTTCGTTTGTTTGCAGTTTTCCAGCTCAATGATGGCTGCCTGTAAATATGTCAGGATGGGCCAGACAATCCCGTGATTGATATCTGAACAACGATGAACACCACAGTGTACAATGACACAAGTCACACAATCCATTTGGTTGACCCTTAAGACCAGGGCCCCGTTCCACAAAGCTATCTTAGCGCTAGGTCGGTCGTAACTCCCATTCTTTAACACTGACTTACGGCAGTCGTAGCACTAAGATCGCTTAGTGGAACGGGTCCCTGCACAGGTTGCGGTGGACTAATTCTAACCCTGAATCCCAACAGGGATTTTACAGCATGTCATGGTGAAGAGAAAACAAGGTTCACATTCTAGGCTCATTTGTGATTCTTATCAACGATCAGATTCTGGAATAAGTGACCATGCTTATTGACAGGCCTATGTCATATGGCGGGAATATTGCCGACTGGCAATAACTTTCATTCACTCCCTCTTGTACCCATTGAACATGTGGAGTACCATAGTTACAGTTAAAACGTGTGTGAGTTTGTGAGTTGGGTTTAACACCGCTCTTAACAGTATTCCAGTTATATCACTGTGTGTCAGCTTAATGTAGGGGGAAAGCCCGAGGTGATAAAGGTGTCAGACGTTCACCACTTTGATGAAACCCACGAGCAAGGGTATGGTGCTGACAAACCCACAAGCAGAGTATGGTGTTGACAAACCCAATGATACGTTTCTGGCATGCCCACTGGACGCAACGCCTTAGACGACTGGGCAACTCATGCCATTAAGACATTAAAAGTGAGTTTATGTTGCTTTCTGCAGTACTGCAGCTCTATCTCAGCGGCCTGTGCAACATCAAGTCTGGACCAGGAACACCATTTATGTTGGTTTTGTCTGCATCATGAAGATTATTGAGGATGTTGATAGCATGGGAAACAATCCATGCAGTCCGGAACGACGACAATCAGTCTTCTCACACACAACATCCATACCAGCTCGCACGTTAGTGCACTAGCCAGGGATTACTAAATTGTGCTGAAGACAAGTAAAATTCTAATGATAGTAGTCCCGAGACAAGTTGCATTTGAGGGCTATAATTATGAACCTGTTCTCAATGCTTCAATTTGCTACAAATTGGAACTGAATAAAATTGACAGAAAATATGAATGAGTGAATGAGTATGGTTTTACACGCTTTTAGCAATATTCCAGCAATATCACGGTTGGGGACACCAGAAATGGGCTTCACACTTTGTACCCATGTCAGGACGGACCACGACTAGGAGATCATGAGTTTCAACTCATTCCATTCATAAATACTTAAGTTCATGTACAAGCCTTTTTATGCCAAATACAAAATGAGTGACCGTCATCCAACCATATTTCGGATAAATTACTCAGGGGTACATAGGACGTATGTCATGTATAAATATAACATCTTTACAAGCGCACGGTTGAGAAATCTAAGTGGGGCGGCGTTGGCAGTGGCGCTCAAATTCGATAAACACATCAAGCAGCCAACTCACAGGGGGATGCTGAACAGAGCTCCAGTTAACTTTTTAAGCAATTGAGTTTTACTCTGGTTTCTATTTTAATTGGGTTATTACATTTTTCATTGGGTAACCAATACCTTTTCACTCATCTATTCATCACTCAATTGGGTTTTTCCCAAAATTGGTGAATATTTTAAGATTTAAAAAAAAATGAAATAATGTTTCAGATGTATATAACTGTTCTTCATATATAGGCTCGAAAGTAAATAAGCTTGTTATTGTGTTTCAGAAAGTAGCTCCTTTGAACGCATGCTGAAATATTGGGTATTTACGCGAACTGTTTTTATACATCTGAGTTTTTCATTTAATGCATGCGTTTCTGTACGCAAGTTATTTGAAAGTAATTGGGTTTTGAAAATTTTAGGGGGGTATTTTACTCAAATACGCTGCTTATCTGTAGCTCTGGCTTAATCAACAAATCTCAGAAAGCAAAACAAAGCCCACAGTTTATGTTCAACAGTTTATCTGATACACTGGGAACAATCCAGACAATACAGAGTGGATATCACAAATCTTAACAATCACCAGACGCCCATGCAATAACATTGCAATACATGAGTCATTCTTCTCAGAAAAGGACAGATCTCAAGATCATATTTCCCGGTACTTCTTTTCCATCCCTCATTTATGAAGTTTTCTCAAAGAAATCAAAACAAAGACACAGGACTGGAACAACTGACTACTAGAAATAGTATACCATTGGCAAATACAGGGGAATCACAGAAACATTATGGAACAAATTATTATATATACAATAACCAATGGTATGGCCAGGATGAGCAAATATGTTTATAGCTGTACAAAACAAAAAAGGCTTAAATGAAGACTTCCCTCCCTTAAAACTCACCCATTGCAGATTTGCTTTATTTCGCATACCCAGTGTGAATAAAGCTGAAAATGTTGAGATGTAAGTTGGCATAGTATTGTGAAGAAGTCAGACATCACTTCAACACCAGTTGGATGTCTATTCACTATCCCAATGCTAGCTACAAACACAGAGCTGACCCTAAAATTTCAGATATTTAGCTTGTGATGATAACTTGTAACTGTTCTTCAAGTCAACAGGTTAGTAAGCGTGGTTGGCAACAAAGAGAGACTTTCCGCCAGCAGCACTCTCACTACCCCCTGTGTACTTTCCAAGAGCCGCTAATCCGTTGGCCTGCAACACAAAAGAGGAAAGTGAACTATTGATTTCTATTTGAAGAAAAAACAGGGATGTCGCTGAAATATGAAATATGTCAATACAATATGTCAATACAATATGTCAATTCAATATGTCAATACAATACAATACTGTATTGATGTTGAACATGTTGAAATGACAGTATGACAGTCTGCATCGTTTCAACCCTAGTACTTGAATTATTCTACCAATATTAGAGAGAGGGACACCAGAAATGAGCTTGTGGGGAATCGAACCCTGGCCTTGATGGTGACAAGCGAACCACTGGGCTACTCCACCGCCCTGATGAAACAGGAAACTAGTGAACTGACCTTTGCTCTCTTGAGCAACTCATCCTGAGCAGCCTTGATATTGTCGTCCTGGCCCTTCCATGCGGCAAGCACACTGGCCTGGAGGGCACGCCCATAGGAGAAAGTGAGAGCCCAGGGCTTGCGGCCAGGGTACTGGTTGATGGCGTTCAGGTTGAGTGTTGCATCTTCTTCAGACTGGCCCCCAGACAAGAATGTTACACCTGTAAAAAGGAGTGGGGTTAATTGGGACAGTGAGTATGGTCTAATGATGCTTTAAAAGATAATCAGAAATGGGTTTCACACATTGCACCCTTGAGGGGAATGAAACCTGGGTCTTCCAAACGCTCTAACCACTAGGCTACCCCACAGCCCTTAACAGGGACAGTAGTTCAGTAATATCAGTGTGTCAGCCTAATGTCGGAGGAAAGAGGAATTGATGTATAGTTCTGAATCTTTACCACTTTTGTGAAACCCACAAGCAAGGGTGCTGACAAACTAAGGTTCAAAATCAGAATGAATTTGGAATGCAAACCTATGATCATAGGATCCATGCACAGCAAAGAGACTCAACACTACAACTAAATTGCGGTGATTTAGACAACTGTGCCCCCTCATATGCAGCGTTTAAAGTAACCTACACCAGTGATGAATTTGAGTGTTATTATACGCCAATAAAATTGCAGGACTGGGAGGAAATCCATTTGCTGCTGACGAGAAATGATGCATTCCCATTTAAGAGGAAGGCAATGCCCAATACAGTGAACAGAAGTTTAACAATGTTTTGAAGAATACGTTTGGGAATAAATAGACATGGCACAGTAACAATTAATGAGCACATAAGTATTGTTTGCCAACGTATTTGATACGGTCGTAATTTGCAATCCATCCGTATTTGACTAGTGTTCATCCATACAATATGCCGATACGGCATCCATCTGGAGCGCTCAACAGCATTCCACTCATAACCTAGGGTGAAGCGGGATTCAAACCCAGCATTTGAACCAACAACCATAGGTTTCTGGCATGCCAAAGAGAGACAACATCCAGTTCCACAAAGCGATCTTAGCACGACTATTGTCCTAAGTCTATGTTAAAGTTATGGAGCTATGATCATCTTGGCGCTAAGATGGCCTATTCGTGCCCCACAGAACTCACAGAAAATTATAAATCAGTGTTGTTATCAACAATTGCTCATTTTGCATCTCAATCACAGCAAAGCCATTTTGTTTTATGTCATCATTATCACATCTAAGATACAAAGCAGGACAATCAGTACCTGCAACTGCAGGTGGGACTGTCCTTGAGAGCGCCTGGACTGTGGCACGGGCGTTCTCCTCATTGCTGTTCTTCTGAGCACTGCTCATACCAGCTGTCACCATGTTGGGCTTGAGAAGAGTGCCCTCCAGGAAGACGTTGTGGTCAGCCAGAGCCTTGTATGTGAATGCCAACACCTACAGGAACAGAAGCTGGTGGTGTTAGCGCAATCTTCAAGATGATGAATACTAATATCTATAACCATTTATTAACACCATTTCTATGAAGACTTTCCTGGATGGAACATTTCTAGGGTAAGAATAGTATGAATCATTTTGGAAATTTTTCAAAAATACCAAGGCATTTTTGAGTAATGTTTCATTTTTTAGATATTAGGTTAACAGCAGAGAATCCTTAAAGGCATAGAATGCACACAAATGTTATCTGCTGTGTGACTGAAAGGACATAGCATGCATGTTTGAATCATTAAGATAATTGCAGCTTTCCCATCAGATTTAACTGACATGAAATACAAACAAGTATTGAGAGTACTTGTCAGATTTTCTTCACTCCATCACCAAGTTGTGATTCAAACAAGACTGAACCCTGAATGTCGTGCTATGACCTGCTGAAGTCTTACCTGCTCTGTGACTCTCTGCGCTGTCTGGATATCGTGTTCACCATCTGGCAATACTTCTGGTTCAACAATGGGCACAAGGCCATTCTGAAATGATAGACATACTCATCATGCTCAGGAGCATAATCCTCACAAAGACTTATTAACTCTGGTCAATGGCTTGAAATTATCCTATTCATCTATACTCTACATTTCCAATACATTGAGGACAGCAAAGAGTATGACCATATTTCAAAACTATTCGGAACCTATGAGACAGGGTGACATGCAGTCAACAAGGTCACGTGTTGTGTGAACCTGATGTCTCATCTCAGTCGGCTCTTACAAGCTGGAGTGACTTTGTTTGTTGTTTACCGCTGTACACAGCAATATTCCAGCTATATGACGGAGGTCTGTAAATAATCGAGTCTGGACCTGACAATCCAGTGATTGACATCATGAGCATCGATCCACGCAATTGGGATACGATGACATGCATCAACCAAGTCAGCGAGCCTGACCACCCTATCCCGTTAGTCGCCTTTTACGGCAAGCATTGGTTGCTGAAGATCTATTCTACACTGGATCTTCACAGGTCGCTTGGGTTACTCGGCACCCAGTGACCCTGGGTCCCCACATGGTAATGACTGTTTGTTTGTTGTATTCTGCAAAATTACAGCTATATGACAGCGGTTTGTAAATAATCAATACTGGTTAGTTGCCTCTTACGACAAGCATGGGTTGCTGAAGACCAGTTCTAACCTGGCATTGGTAAAGACTTAGGACACAACTGATAACATCACTTTTGAGTTTACTAGCTCAAAATTACCTACTGGCAACACGATGATTTTAATAGCTTTTAATGTAAATATTAAGGCTGGGACATTACAGTAACTGTGCGATCTGATACGTATCGTAGTAACTTGCACATCATCCAATATGCATCACGACACTTGCAAGAGCTCTAATCTGTGATGCGTGAGCCATGTTTTTCATAGTCAAGATGAGCAAACCTGGCACACTGATTTACAGTTGACAGTGTCAAGTATGGCACAATGGATAAAAAGTGTAAATTGGCACGCCTCCCATGGCCGAAAGCTATGAACACACAATGCCATTTCAAAAATGGTCAAATGTAACAAATGTTCGGGTACCATATTTTAACGTGTTTTGGTATGATGCAGACGGGGATTGTACCCCCGACGTCCCCTCCCTGGGCAGACGCTTTACCACAAGACCACAAAGGAGGTCCTTTCTTTCTATTAAGGTGTTCCATCACCGACGATGACTAGCAGTGCGAAACTGTTAATTTTAACCACTGTTGTTTCGCAAGATTAATGAGGTTCTGGAGTCAATTCTGGTTTAAAGTTCCATAATTTTACCAGACTCTGGTTTCGGACAAGTGGCTACAGTGTTAGACTGTTACAGACAGCTTACCTGTTGGCAGATGCTAGCATAGCGTGCAAGAACGTTGCCGTTCTCCAACATGGACTGATAGGAAGGGGTGTGGGGACCGATCTTCAGGACACATCTCCATTTGGCAAACTGGGCTCCATCTTTCTTGTACTGTGCACACCTGGCACCCAAGTCATCCAAACCTGAAATAAGGCATGATGGAAATAAGCTTCATATTCATCAAATTCATGAAAAAATACAACTAACATCCTCTCTGATGATAAACAGTGACTCAGAGAAGTGAGAGTACGTAAGAATATTTGGTGTCACTATTTCATGTGAGTATTGTATCCCATCAAAATTTTATGTAATTCACGTATTAATGCTAAATGATACACATAATGTGGTACTTGTAAAATGATACGTTACTCAAATGCATTTTCTCTGACAGTATTTACACATGTTCTGTTAACAGAAGCTCTTTACTTATATGATTTGGTTGGCTAATATTCATTCCTTGCGATAGAATATGTCTCATTTGAGCCATCTGTGACATGCATAATGTCTACTATGTATTCAGTAGGGCACATGATCTAAACTTGGGATGATGAGTTACCATATACAGTGATATACATTCATATTCAGAAGCAAACATGGATAATATTACATGTCACACTGATTTAATGATCAGATGTGTCAGAATGTTTGTATTTCCCAAGCGAGAGCAAAGCAAAAATTTGATGCATGAATTCTAACAAGTTTGGAAAAATCGTATGTTGTGTGTTCGTGTGTGAGAATGATGAACCTGATTTCTAAAGAAAATACAGCAGGGCCAACTTAGAAATTCTTACAAACCCACTGGTCCAAGACTTCAAAACATTACAGCTACTGATCATGCTGATGCTATTCTTTGTTGACTTGTAACTTTCGTTGATTATTTTGAAACAAGTGATTCCTATTTTGATTTGCAGCACAGTTGGGCAATATTCACTTTCAAATCCTTATCAAATGTAGCAACTTATCAGACAGCGTTAGAAATTGGCATAAGACCTGAAGTTGTAGTCCTTGCCAAACTGCCCAACAGTTAAGGTATCGTAAGGATTAGTAGAAATTTGCCATTTTTAAGGGTTGTGCTGTATGTTATCATTATAAGGACTAGTGGCCTAAAAACATTAGTTTCTACCGCTGTCAGAGACTGTTTTTAGCCTTCCTTGACAATTACACTGACTAAATGTAATTACTCATATGTTTATTGACAACAAAAACATACAGTCATTGATTCTTTTTATTATTCATCTGAATCTTGCTTTCCCCCCATTCTGAGAACAAGTGAACAGGACTAGTGATGACACATTTTTAAGGTTGATAAATGCTCGGTGATATATTTTTTTTATATGGGTCTGGTAACCTTAAGCACAGGACGGCATTTGCAGTCTACAAAAGCTGCCAGCTACAACCAAAATGACAGACAAAAGATCACTACATAACTTACCCTGTGTTGTGCATTCATTGAAGGTTCCGGCAAGGGGGACCACACCCTTGTCAACCTTGATGCCGGGGATGATGCCCTTATCCTGAAGGATCTTGACGAAGGGAGTCCCATCGGATGCCTTCTGGTAGAGAGTCTCGTGGAAGAGGATCACACCACTGATGTTTTCTGTAACAGCTGCTGGGGCGGTGAACAGAAGCTCCCTGTATTTGCGGCGGTTGTCCTCTGTGTTCTCAACGTTGATGCCAGAGAGACGCTTGCCCATGGTGCCTGAAAATAAATGTTCATCATGGATCATAGACAACTCAATCCAAGGAGAATTGGTCCTCAGCAACCCATGCTTTTTGTAAGAGGCGACTAACGGGATCCGGTGGTCAGACTTGCTTGATGCATGCAATCGTATTTGTGTAGATTGATGCTTATGACGTCAATCACCTGATTGTCTGATCTAGACTCAATTATTTACAGACTGACATACAATAAACAAACAAAACATGGTCAACTCATGTGCTGAATGTAAATCCAACATACAAGTTATGACAATAGACAAACAACCACAGGATTTGAGTGAAAAAATGCTAGTCTGTCCAAGATAGGGCTGGGACGATACTCCAACTGTGCGTTTGATACATATCAGGATACCTTGATCACGATTCGATACATATCACGAAAATTGCACCTTCTCTTATCTGTGGTGTGTAAGCCATCTTTTTCATAGAAAGGATGTCAAAAAGACTGGCGCACTAACAATTTACTGTTGGCAGTGTCAAGAATGGCGCAATGAATGAAAATATGTACATTTTCACTACTCATTTTCACTTGTAATTAGTGTTTGGTGTAACATTTATTAAAGAAAACATTTAAGGTAAGAATCGTTACTTTTTACTAAGTGTGTGATTGTGATCGATACTTGTATCAAAAAGTAAAAAATCAGGATCCACCAATGCATCGGTGTATCGTCCCACCACTAGTCCAAGACTAGTCAATTTTGCAAACACTTGTTACTTTTGTAAGTTTAAGCGGAGATCTTTCCATATTTAAAACCCAATATGACAAGTCAACTTCTCGACTTCAACTTCATTAACTTAAGATTTATGGGGTAACATATACTGAACACACTGACCATGTTTACTGCACCAAGGGCAAAGCATCAAGTCAAAGTACACATAAACTCGGATAAACACATTGTCAGTAAGTTTCCTCGAGACAAATGGCAAATAGATCTCTTCATGATTTTATCAAGTTTTGATAGACATTTTTCTATATCACGATATAAAAAACAAATTAAATGAGGCTGTATTCATTGTCTACAACATATGAAAGGTTTTCCCCCAATTATCCTTTTTGGCTACATGCACAGAGGAGAACAGGACAACAGTGAAGTAGCAGCAACTAACTACATGCAACTTGTCCGAACTGTAACCATGGTAACAAGTACACAAACAATTGGAATATCCCCAGTTGTCCTCTAGAGGCTCTATAGTATCTGAATCCAACATTCTGAGGACCCCTGGACTATAAACGTATAACGGTGGGGTTACAACTTAACACTAGCCCACTAGCCCGGGGCTAGTACAAATTTCCAATTTTCCCATTGTTTTAACATTACAAGGACATTTTATCTCTACCCAGGCTAATAAGCTTTTCAGTAATTTCTAGCCCTACAAGGACGCCTTGACTTTCATGCATTATCTCAAACACAGTTGAACATTACATACAATATTATTTTTCAAGCAATTATTCTTTGATGCACTCTGGAAATGCAACAGTTACACTTAAAATGTATATAGTAAACTGAGGAGGTTAAAATACTGGCATAGTCCACTAAAACTGCTGTGACACATGGCCTAGTCTATTCAGCTCACCAGTTGACTCATCAGCTGCGAGGATACCCTTGCCAGGAGCTACAATAGCATTGGCAATGTCACGGAGCTCATTCTCCTGTTCCTTAGTCAAGGCTGGGGTAAAAGCAGGCATGGCTTTCTGAAACACATAAAAAAATCAATAAATTCCTTATTTCAAACAGTCTTTGACATGTTTAATACTGTTACTTTGTTTCTTTAACTGTAATAGAAGTACTATCTTAATACTGATAATACTATGTACTGATATACTGAGTATGAGTGCATTCCCTACATTTATGGTCTTGACAGTTCCAGACCAACAGGATCACACTTATATAACTGTTTGTTGGTTAAAGCTACACTATGCAACATTCCATCTTTATCATAACAGCCTTTGAATAATCAAGTCTTAGTTCACAAAAACTAAACCACCTGCAATAAAGTTGGCCATAAAACAAGCTGTTGAGTCCTCGGAAGCTGTTGCATTGTTCATATGTATATCCTTTTCATAGAGATATGAAACACTAACATTCACGGCCTTATCAAGGCTTTCAACTGTCTACAAGACTGGGTTATTAGCCATAGTCTGTCAATATTTTTACTAAATCCAGCTTACTATATATATTAGTCGTAAAACCTAAAATATGAAAACCACAAATTTTCCTGAGGATATAAATTTTCACATCTCACAAATAAAACATATTTAGTCTGTCATGAATGTAAATACTTTGTTTTAACAAGCTTTTATTTTGCACAAATTCAAGGCTTTTAAAGCTATTTTGGTGATTTTCAAAGCGTTTCAAGGTTGACACTAAAAGCCAAGGCTTTTCAAGCAGGATCTTAAAATTCAAGACCTTTTCAAGCCTTACGAACCTAAATATCGCTATCTATAATATGACCTGCCTATAAATGCAACATCCCTGGGTCAGTAATGGCACGTGTCCATGCAAAGTTAATTTCAGATGCTAGAGGTGTTCTCATGGGTACCAGTCATGACCGCATTTGGATTCTATTCTGATTTTATATTCCATGTACTGTGGTCATTGCAATACTGAATAGTATTTGAATCTAGGACACAGTGAGACAAATATTACTGTTTTGGGTAGCCAACCGGACTATTTCCCACACAAAAATTTGCCAGTCACCATCATACTGTTTTAACACCAAAACTTGCTTAGTCACGACATAGATTAAGACATTCTTACTTTATTTCATCATCAGAATGCTTCTATTTGTACAATTCCGGCCCATACACCAGTCACATGTTTGAATATTATAGTAATAACATGGTTGACAAAATTTCAAGTCATATTATTAAATTTAAATGATGTTTCAAGGCATATTTGAATTTATTTCTGACCTACAGTCATGCCAAAATCAAGACCGTTTCAAAATGTTGCCTTGTCCTTGCCAGAGCTATCATGGAAAGGATATGAACCCCCACTTTCATTCTCAATTTCAAGGGTAACAGTTCTTCAGATTGACAAGGGCATCCAGTTATCAAGGTCACTGCTGCCCCCCCCCCCCCCAATAAAACTAACCTCCCAGTTCAGAGCTACATGGATCGCCCTGGCCCTATATTTCTAATATTCAACTTAAAACAAAACATAAAAAGTCAATAAATTGACTGCTTATCCATTGTCAATTGCTAAAACTTCAAAGAAGCAATATCCCGACACATAAAGATCAAGGACAAGGTGAGTGACAGATGGTTCATTAACTGATCAATATTATCTGGTGACTTTTCAGCATGGTCAGTAATTACACGTCTTCCATTTTGCAATATGGTGGTTTTCAAAGTACTGAATATAGAACATGATATACAAATATAGATGCATTTCCTTCATGATATGTCCATGGTTCGTCCACATACCAGTAGAATCATTTTCAGTAGCTTTTAATCAGGAAAGAGGGTTTTCAGATCAGTTCAGTTTCTAGGGCATTGATTTCTTGTCATCCAAAATGTCCCCCCAAAAATATCAATTTTGATAATGAGATAAAGGACTGTCCTACCAAAATTTGCTTAACATCATGAAAATGTCCTAAAGAATTTTTCTGTTGCAAAATCACTGGGACATAATGGACTTTTAATAGCTCATCTTACCATGCTTACTAAATCACAATGCATTATACCTGACCCAGGTTTTGGACTAGTCACCATTTGAGTTCCCAACATATCATATACGTGGTCATCAAATATTCATTGATTGTTTTGCAGTGTCCAAAAGTAAATGGGGACCTTGGGGTTTGGACCTGTACTGGCTATAGTAATTAGTATCTGAGTGTGGGGAGTCCCCCTAAATCTGAACATGTAACATTAGGGCAATAACAGCCATTCATAATTTTGAACAAATGATAAGAATATAAAAAATAAGACATGGACTTGACAGAAGAAGCATGTCCTTAGCTAGGTCATCATGGTTAGAGAATAAAGTATGTGCTCTTTACATGTATTATACATCTCTAATGCAGCATTAGAAATTGGCACTAGTCCTTTAGTCCTTGCTAGTCCTTTAGTCCTTGCCAAACAGCCCAAAACTTAAGGTTTTATAAGGACAAGGGTTTTGCTGTATGTTATCAATATACCTGGAGCAATGGACTAAAACTGCTAGTTTCTATCGCTGTAATGAAGCAAAATGTACTTACTCTCATACAACTACTCTGTAAATTAAGCTGATCTGGACAGAACAGTTTTTCCTTTCAGACAGCTATTTTTCAATGAAAGCAAAAGGTAAAGCAATTTGTTCCTAAAACTACATCAGATCTTGAACATTCCCCAATCTATTGCATCAGTCCAAACTGTCACTCCTTAAAATCATGTTTCACTTAACATGCTCAAGGAAGTGAAATTGAATAGCTTCACATTGTCACGTACTTGGCTAAAATTACATCATTTAACCATCTTTATATTCCATTTGTTTTATCAAAACCCATGGTTGTTAACATGTTTAAGAGCTAATACAATCAATCGACAAATTTAAAGACCTGTGCCACTAGTCCCATCAAAATGTCAAGTGAAGCTATAAAAGTAATAACATGCATTCTGCAAGTCATTACATACGTAATTACATGGGATGAGAGAGGCTTGCCACTTCTAGACTTCAGGAAAGTCAAAATAGCAAGATGACGGTAAACGGAGCTGTCCAAACATAGGTTTCCAACTTAATATAAGATCTGTCAAACAAGGAGGTAGGCCCATAAATTTGTCAACAAGCCCTGTTTATCCCTAACAAAATGCACAAAGCAGAATGCGGTATCATAACCCCTCTAATATTGACATCTCGTCTGTATAAACGGTGTTGTAGAGCTATTCTGAGTGTCTGTAGTTAAAATCCATGTAATGTCCTTGCAAAGTAAGGATACCTCAAGGTAAGACGACCTAGACTTCATAAATGAGCTAGTTCAAGGTCAGTTCGTCCTACTACAAGGACGCAGTGATAGAACTGGTTATTATCGAAATGCACAAATAATGCAACATAATAGGTTGATAGAACTCATTATGAATATTCTACATGAACCAATAATTAGTTATCTGCATTTGAAAAAGATAAAATTGCGTACTTACCGTATAAGATTCACCGGTGCAGCAAGCGGCTTACTCCAGCAACACACAACGACAAATGGGACTGAGAACGAGGCAGCTTGCCTGTGACATCACGTAATCGTGATAGTTCAAGGGCCAGGGGTCAAGGGTCAATCGTCTCTCGTTTCTCTTCCATGAAAGGATAGAGTGGTTTGTTACAAATTGAGATAAAGTGTGCACATTACTGCACACACCAATAAAATAAACTTTTAATAGAAGAACCCTCAATAATTCTTATCTAAACAATACTTTAAAAATATAAATAAGGTATCCTTAAAAAGATATTATGTGATACAAACGGTTGCCCTTGTGAGAATGTCATGCTCAGGAAAAAAGGTTCGTGTCTGTATTTTGATAAATTAATTGATATTTTCGAAGGTAATAATTTTCACCTCTAAAGCCCTCATAAAGATCATAGACATATCGGCAAAGATTATGAGAAAGTAAAATGTCTGTAAAAAACTTAAGAGGATAACTGTAAACATAATCAACACGTATTTAATTTGAATTATATTATGCATATATATAGATAGATAGATAGATAGATAGATATATATTGTGGTGCTGAAGGTGAATATTTCGATAAAAAATATTTATTCTTGATATAAAGATATAAAGATATATTGATATCAATAACTGTTACATGATTCTGTGTTGTTGATATTGTTACTGGTTTGCTTCTTTGGTTGGTTGTTGTTGGGTTGTTTTGGTCTCTTGTTGTGAATTATTATTATTATTATTATTATTATTATTATTATTATTATTATTATTACTACTACTATTATTATTATTATTATTTACTTTATTTCTTTATTATTATACGTTGCAATTATAGAAACAAACAGTGGGTTCGAATCCCGTTTCTTCCTTATGTTTAGGTTTGTCAGCACCATACCCGTGCTCGTGTGTATCACCAAAGTTGTAAACGTCATAACCTGCATCACTTCGGGCTTTCTAATATGATACGCCGTGATAATACTGAAATACTGTTCAAAGCTGCGTTAACCCCCAACTCACTCACTCACTCACTCACTCACTCACTCACTCTTACACCTCTCCTTCCTATGCACACAACAAGACCTTAGACCGAAAACGATTGCTGTTAATACAATATCATGCAGGAACCTGTCTATGGCGATGTTTCCATCTTGATGGACAAATGTGAAATAATTAGAAGTTAACAAATACACACGTGAGATGTCAGTGCACCTGTACCCATAAATATATATTTTAGAACGTATGTACACGAGCAAATTTGCGTATGTAGTGTATTTCTTTATATATATTTAACTTTATTCTGCATATGAAAGGGGTATTGGATGAACACAAAATTGATAATATGTTAAAAGACAATTTATGTAAAAAATATCCTAATATCTGTGGGTGACCGACCTGTATATTCTGTCATGGCGTACTTTGAATTGACACAAACGACCTTCACCGCGGCCGAGATAACCTGTGATCTTCACTTTAGGTCAGGACAGACAAACACCATGTGGTTACCCAACAACAGGTCATCTCGGTGAGATAAGAACTGTGTTGTTTGTACCGTCATGTTGACACTGTATAATGGTGGGAACTAATAACTTATTTACATCAATCTTGAATGTTCATTGACATACATGTATATAAATGTTTATCGTCAGACCCAGATTCCCAAATTTGTAGTTACTTTTTTAATGGAATTTCTTTAATCCCAGTAATGTATTTTAATAGTATTTCTTTTTTAATAATCAAAGTAACAGTAAAAATGATTACAAAAAAACGATTACTCGACCAAATTGTCATATAAAAACATATGTGATCAACAAGAAACGTATTTCATAACTTGAAAAATAACAAATGTGAAAAAAATGAAATTGATTTTAAACCTTTAGGAAACACTGCTTATTTACGCTTATACATTGAATTGGTTTATGGATTCGAGGAAGAAACCCTTCACAAAAGTGAAATAAAATATTAAAAAAAACAGTATTTATTAATAATAAACATCCAAACTAACTCTTTGACTTGTTATAATTAATAAACAGTCAGAGTAGCACGGCACGTTTCTTAAATATCCCTTTTTTTACCCCGTCGGCCATACTTTTATAATTACTCTTTAATTTTTTTACATTTTTGCATTTCTGTTGTTATTTCGGCCATCTACCCACTGGTAACCACAGCAACCCAAGTTGGTAATGAAGAGAGGCCACCCTTTAAGGATTTAAGGAGCGCTTCCGGTGGAACCATAACACATTTACGCTCATTGGTCATCGTATGTCATGTGTTGCAAGGACGCTTTCGGTGGAGCCGTTTTAGCACTTCCGGTTGAGACTTACATACTGGCAAATGTACCCTTCTCTTTTTGTTTCAGCCTCTGATTGCAGATGGTAAATGACAGTTCGCTACTGGTGGAGACAGCCCTGTATTTCTTCTTCCGATTATATTATATTGATATTATATCTGCGAACGAAAACGACTATTGTTGCTATAGAATATCTCGAAATATCTTTTTGCGGGGTTTCCGTGTTGATGGACAACTGTGAAATGATTCCAGAATTATAGATACACGCGTGATATGTCAGTACATATGTACCCCTAGAAAATATACACATAGGACGTATATACATGAATACATTTGCATATATGGTATATTTAACTATGCATTATTCTGCATATGAACTGGGTATTAGATGTAAAAAAATATAACAGGTAAAATATCCCGAAATGTATGGATGAACGATCTTTATATTCTGTCGTTATGTACTTTTATTTGACACAAACGACCTTCACCCAGATCGAGATAACTTGTGTTTTTCACTCCAGGTTTAACAACAACAGGGCTTCTCGGTGAGATAAGATAAGTGTTGTTTATACCGTTATGTTGACTCTGAATAACGGTGAGAACCTGTGGAGATTGACAAAGCATATAATAACCATACTTAAGTACACGTATCTTGATATTCACTCGCATTTATATGTTTGTCTCCCGTATCAGATTCCAATATTTGTATGTACTAGATCCCAGTCCGACGTTTTAAAAATATTGTTCATAAATAAATAGACCCGTGAAGACCCGGGGTAGAATAGGTCTTCAGCAACCCATACTTGCCGTAAAAGACGACTATGCTTGTCGTAAAAGGCGACTAACGGGATCGGGTGGTCAGGCTCGCTGACTTGGTTGATACATGTCATCGATCCCAACTGCGTGGATCGATGCTCATGATGTCAATCACTGAATTGTCTGGTCCAGACTCGATTATTTTACAGACCGCCGTCCTATAGCTGGAATACTGCTGAGTGCGGTGTTAAACAACAACAACAAAAACAACAACAAAAAATCATAAATTAATAATATTCCTATTTTATATATAAAAAAGTAACAGTTAAAATAATTATATCAAAAATACCGCCAAGCGTTATATATAATCACAAAATGCCTTCTAAAACCTCATTTAGGAAACATTGATTACTTAGGCTTTTTTATCATTTAACTTAAGCATTTATCGATGACATAAGCTTATGACATAAAAACATGTTTGTCATACCCCAATGACATAAGTATGCAAATTAGATATGCAAATTAGATAACCGGAAGAGCGAGCAGTTTGATTTGAAACTATATATTATAAGTGAAGTTACACCAGAGATATAATCAGATTACACAGAATCGTTGTTGTTACCGTTATTAAAGTTTCAATTATTCTGCAAAAGTCTGTTCAAGTATTTTGTCTAAAATAATCCGAGGAACTTTTTTTCTCAGCGAATTGTTTATTTTGGTTTACATGGCTATGGAAAACATGTATCACTACGCACGATCTATACGTAAGATTTCGACAAGTTGCTGATGTTAATGTTTAATGCAATTATTCCTTAATTTGGAAGCAAAAATGTGAAAATGATAAATAGAATTCATCACTCGTGTTTTCTAATATGGGAAATATCAACCTCGTCCCGTTAATCGGTATTTGCCTCGCCAAAGGCTCGGCAAATACCGATTAACTAAGACTCGGTTGATATTACCCATATTAAAAAACACACGTGATGAATCCTCTATATATTAACTTTGTTAACGGATTTTCGGAAGAAACCCCTCACAAACGTAAAATAAAATATGTAAAACATCAGTTTATATTAATAATAACCCAAAGTAACCTTTTGACTTTTCATTTAAAAACAGTCCAAGTAGCACGACACGTTTATTTATTATCCAAAACTGGCTCCCACAGGAGATATCGCTTGGATGAGATCAAGCGATTTATTACTTGCCCGTGAAGAGATCACCCGTTTAATAAACATATAGCTTTATTACACATTGTGTAATACCAAAACGCGTGCTTATGTACTCTCGGAACACGTTTCACGAACAAATATTGAAAGCTCTCAACATCGCTTGGCTTATTCAACGACATTGCGTGTGGAGTTGATAGATCACTGAGAGGAGCTTATGCACACTCGATGACCCCAGCAACCTTGTTGCTAGGCTGACGTCACATGGCATTGTTTCGCCGATGGATCTTGCATCAAAATTCCACAAATTTCGTCATCGGGTATTGTGACGTTATTGAAAACTTTGATGTGCAAGGCCCGTTCCACAAGGCGATCGTATTGTAGCGCAACGACAGTCGTTGGTCTAAGTTAAAGTATGTGAGATGCGAAAGTCTTAGCCCTACGATAACTTTGTGAATTCTAAAGGTAGACCCGTTGCATGGTATGAAATTCATACGTTTCAACTTTTGACGTGTTTGAAGTATTATTCTGTTAAACTCAATTTGACTATGTCGTGGATCATGTAGGTGTCAGCCAATTCATACTCAACAGTATAATTAAAAAAACGTTATAAATTGCAAGTAATAAATAAAATACTAAACTCGCTCCCGTGTAAAACCAATTTTATGAAACTCGTGAATAGTTGTGGTATCTGACTCGCTTTCGCTCGTTTCATAAAATTGGTATTACACGGGAGCTCGTTTAGTATTCTATATATCTGCACTGTAGATATCGATGCAATGAAATTACATCACAATGCTTTATAGACCATTGCGATGTCACTGGTTACCATGACGTCACAATCAAATGACATCACTAATGGCTCTGCAGCTGCAGCTGTTAGCAGTACTTTTTTTACACTGAAGACACTGCTAATTACTGTCTACAAATTGAAAAAGTTGGAAGAATGATGTTGGATGATAAATACAATCGCACCCTCGTGTCTACTGATATCAAATATATCAAGACTCGTTGATATATTTGATATCAAAAGACACTCGGGTGAGATTCTCTATTTACTATCCTTTGTTACCCTGTCGGGAATAATTTAACTCTTTAAAACATTGGGGGTTTTTCATTTCCTTTTTTATTTTGGCCATCTACCCACTGGTTTTGAAACTAAAATCGGAAACCTTAAGTTGCTTTTAGAGAAAGTCCTTTAATACTAGGATTTAAGGAGCGCTTCCGGTGGAACCACACACGTTTGCGCTCATTGGTCAATGTACGTTTTGTGTTACATGCTCGCTTTCGATGGAGCTTCCTGTGGAACGTCGAAAGGCTCACATATTAGTTAATGCATGTCTCCCTGTTTGTTTCAGCCTCTGGTAGTCGCATCTGCCTGTGATAGTGATAAGACAGGTGTCATTTGATTTGATATGATGCTGTGTTCGCGTTGCATAACACGTGACATCTGTGAGGAAACGGAGGCAGCTGCACATGCTTGACCCATCCTGACCGACCAGCTTAATCACTTGTGTGACGTAACAGGATGGATGCATATGTTGTTGTACATTGTGTTGTGATCTGTTCTTAGCACAGATGTACCAGTACATGTTAATTAGATGGTTGACATTTAAAGGCACGGGTGAATTTTTTATTAAGAATAATCGCAATTAAGTGTTTCGTATTTGCAAACATTTCATTTTAGAAGGGAAATCTACGGAAGCCTTTTAGGGTCATTTGTTTTGTTTTTTAAAAATTCTAGAAATTCAAGATGTTATGTTGAAATTTCAAGATACTAAGTTGAAATTTCAAGATACATACTAAGTTGAAATTTCAAGATAATCGTCTTGAAAATTCAAAATAAAAACTTGAAATTTAAACTTAGTATCTTGAAATTTAAACTTAGTATCTTGAAATTTAAACTTAGTATCTTGAAATTTCAAGAGAAAAATAATAAAACATATGGCCCTAAAAGGCTTCCTTAGAAAACATTTTGTCTTTCAATTTCACTCAGCAATATTCCAGCTATATGACGGGGGTTTGTAAATAATCGAGTCTGGACCAGACAATCCAGTGATTGACATCATGAGCATCGATCCACGCAATTGGGATACGATGACATGTATCAACCAAGTCAGCGAGCCTGACCACCTGATCCCGTAAGTCGCCTCTTACGACAAGCATAGTCGCCTTTTACAACTAGTCTTATGGAAAGTGAAATAAGCGTCAAAAGAAAGTGTACACTTGAACAATGGATTTGACCAAACATTACTACCGTTATCAAAACCATACCAGGCTGAAAACATTCGCCGAAACACTGCGCACTTAAGGTCCAAGACTCAACCATTCACCACCAAATAACCAGCCTCTGTTTCATTTTCGATGCTATACAAAGTCTGCCTGCAAAGCACGCCAGAAACCTATGATTGTGGGTTCGAATCCCGGTTCGCCCCGATTATGTTTCTAGGTTTGTCACCGAAGTGGTAAACGTTTAAGATCGCAGCACTTGCCGCTTTCCTCCCACATTAAGCTAACACGCCGTGATATGACTGGAATACTATTAAAAGCGGCGTTAACCCCAACTCACTCACTAACTTACTCTTTCCATGGGTTTGACAATGGGATTATTAAAAATGTAATTTAAAACAATTGAAACAGAGGGCCCTAAACAAGGCACGCGAACGCAGCCATAAATTGTCCCGTTTCGTACGCGTTACACAACGATATCGGTCAACCCGTCCTTGACAAAACATATATATCAGAGCCTCCCCTGCGCTCGCAAACACTACATTTAGCGAGAGCTTCTATTGCAGTCTGTTTTTTATTTCAAATGTTTATTATGTGAAGATAACAGTGAATTCGAACATTGACTCATTGATGAAATATAAATTAGATATTCTAATATCAAGTATCACAAGAGATAATAAATAGGTAGGTGAATGACCACTTATCTAACTTTCTCAACCCATCCTTGTAAGAGGCGACTAACGGGATCGGGTGGTCAGACACACTGACTTCGCTGATACATGTCATCGTATCCAAATTGCGTAGACCAATGTTCATGATGTCAATCACTGGATTGTCTGTTCAAGATTCGATGATATACAGACCGCCGTCATATAGCTGGAATATTGTTGAGTACGGCGTTAAAGAATAAACAAACAAAACTAAAGTTACGTAAGTTTGTGTAAAAATCATTACTTCCTACGTTTGAGATTCACACTGAATCCGAATTACTTTAACAAATTGATAATAGTCAGGTATATGGTGTATGTTTGAATCCCGTACGCAGCAGTAAACCATCTCCACAGCTACAGACGGACATATCAAGTCTAGCTTAGACAATGAATTGGTGTACATTGTGAAACCAAAGGTGCAAGATAACATTTCCAAAATGTGTCAGTTTTTCAGAGTATGTTTTGGTTATCAACTCCCAAAACGTGACACAATGTGGCCATACATCATGAATAGATTATGGGTGTTGAACAAGACGCCAAGCCCTAAAATTACTATCAGCTAAGAATAGATACATCAGATACATGAACTCGTGAATGGAATCCGTCGCTACTCATAAATGAGACGCAAAGCACATGCAGACAGGAACTAGCATGTAATAAATTGGCTTTATTTACGCACGCGAAAGTCGTGAACATTGTCAATTGTGTACACAAAACTTGTGACGTCAGGATAATCTTGGGTGAAATGAAAAACAGTCACTGTTCCAGCCGTCGTGTCTTGGGCAGATATAGTTATCTAACAGAGATTTAAAAGTCGGTCAGATCCGATCACAATGCTCTCCAAAATCTCGCTGACATAATATTTATGTAGCAGGGCGTGGAATCATCCCACACATGACATTCTTACTCTAACGGGGTTACGGGGTCACATGGACAAGGCGTCCGACCTCGGATCAGAAGGTCCATGCTCCGAATCACGGTACATTAAGATACACAATACACACCTGTCGATGTGACCTTAGACTCGGTGATGCAAGTAGCAATATTGTTTTGAAATGGAATATTAACGCTCTGTGCATCATTACATATCTATATACGCATAATGGACCGTGGCCACTTTACAGAAATAAACTATCTGTCTCTCAGTCAAAACAATATTGTGGACAGATGACAGTAATTCACAACAAAGTGACAACTTTGTACGAGTATATTATCTTTATCTTACGTACGAATTATTGTGTAGAAGTAAGCGAGAACAATCTTAAATCTTTTGTACGGGTTAGTCAGATGCTGTATGCATTGTTAATATATTTTTTAATTAATTGCCAGTTAGAAAGAAATAGATGATATTAGACATGGTCAATATAATAAATAGCATGTAGTTATCGATGATCAATTTTGTACTCTAAAAAAATAAAAGTTTATCTTTCAGGTAACCGCATTTTCATTAATTACTTAATTTATTCAACAATATCAAAAGGATACACGTCTCGAACGCTATTGTATTTCATTCAAATGCAATGGGTTGAATACGTATGAAAAGAGTCAAATTTAGAGTTACCTTTCCCTGAGTTGTAAGGCTTTAACTGTTTAGTTCTTCTTTTAAACGCATGCGCTCCTGGTTATCCGTAAGCACTGTAAGCTGCTTGAAAGCACACACCGCACCCAGTTTGAACTCACTTTGGGAACAATGGCGTCGGTAGCTAAGCCCGAGAAAGAACAGCCAGATAAAATAGTAAATACTAATGGAACTAAAACATTTGGCGACAAACCAAAATGTTTTGCAATCGAGGAAGGTGGAGAGACTTACTACATCGGATCAGAGGTACATTTAAGCTAAATCTTGCATGTTTTCAACCGCTCTATGATCCTGTGTGATTTACCGGCATAACAAAAAACGTCTTCTTAGTTCTTTGAGCCAATAGGCCTATATGACTGGGCCTTGTTTTAGCTTTACATTAAACTATTTCTGAGATTTCAATATAATACTAACTGACAAACGTCTTTGTTTATCATGTTTATCGTACTACTTGTGAAAAGTTTCACGTTTCACACTCAAAATGTTTCAAATTTTCCATCACATTTTCCCCATTACTTAGGCCTATTCGTAATGTTGATTTTGAAATTTACCGAGTCACTATATTTCAATTCATGACAATAGATAGTATGACATTGTCATATGATATCAAATACTTTAGATTGGCTGTTTGAAAACGGGCCTTTGACTAATTGTGCTGGTAACTAGCCTACTGGCATTAGAGTCTAGGTTATTTTCATGATTGGCTATTATGTTATAGGACATTTTTCTGTATCATGAACAAAATAGTAAAATATATCTTAGATGGCAATAAGACAGGTATCTAGACAACAAACTGAAAATTTTCTGATGGGAGAACCATGAGTACCTGAAGTTCTGCAGTGATGATGAATTTGATCAGCTGATAATAATATAATAGTCTTTCATGATGCAGTGTTTGTGATGGGGAAAGAAAACATAGCTTTTCTCATGATGATAAATGAAATGTTTCACATATATCTGATATATAATTAGACATCTGTCATAGAATAAAGCCCGGGTAAGAATATGGGTCCCAGCAACCTATGTTTTTTGTACGAATTAAGCGACTAAATGGATCGGGTGGTCAGACTTGAGGACTTGGTTGATTGCATGTTATCCAAATAGCATGGATAGATGTTCATGATGTGACTCACTGGATTGTCTAGACCAGATACGATTATTTGGAGACTGTCGTCATATAGCTGTAATATTGCTGAATTTGGCGTTAGACAACAAACATAGAAGGCAAAAGTATGTGTGCTAAAGGCAATGATTGTTCTGACACAGGTGGGCAACTACCTTCGCATGTTCCGAGGGTCCTTATACAAGCGGTATCCATCAATGTGGAGAAGACTGGTGACGGTTGAGGAAAGGAAGAAGATCGCTACCATGGGTAAACAAACACTGACAATGATTTACCCAAAGATAAACTGTTATATCTGATTCCCTGCTAGGTACTTGCTCAAGAGTGCAGTTTACCAGGCACGACTGCCTGTCATCCACTAATTGACTACCTCTACTGGTCTTTACATTCTTTTATAATTGTTTTGAGGCTTTTGTGCAGACCAAGAAAGTTTGCCTGGTATTGGTCAGTATTCCCAGTTTGTTATGGTATTAATACAACTACATTTGTTCAATTGAATTTAGATATTGTGCAACTGAACATGTTGAAAAATTGATTTGCACATCCAGTAAACTTGTTGAAACCACAAGAATTAAAAAAATTACAGGTTACCTTTCATTATGGCATTTACAATGTATACCATGTACAGGAAAACTGTCAGAAGAGTTCACCCTTATTGGGCTGTTTTACCTTTATAATGAGTATGTTAAAGCAGCTTGCTAAGACTGCCTATTATTTTCCCCTGATGAAGTAAATTTCGTCTGACTAGGTATTTTTTATCATTGATTGTCATGATTATGCAATCGGTGTGATTTGACTTTAAAAAAAATAGCTTTTACCTAGCTGTCTTATCTACCATTATTATGCACATATTGGCCACAGCCATGGTTACTGTGGCAACATTGAATGATGTTATGTTGTTTTATGTGCATTCAGTTGTGTGCTTTGCATGTGGTCACAGCTATTGATAAAAAGTCCATTGAATATTGCCAATATTCAAAGATTCCTACATTGGAATCTCAATGTCCACTGAATTTATAAAACAACTGATATGCTTTTATCATTTCTGATAACTGACTTTTATCAATACATCATGTACATGATCAAGATTGAAAGTTGTTACTTGACAAGGTATTCATACTATATTATCAGTGGTTATTGAATTTTATTACTTGGAATCTGCATATATGTGGCAGACAAGAAATAAGCTGTTTGTTGATAAATTTATTTTCTCTGCATGATCAGTATCATCAGAATAAAATCATCCTGCATCGATGTCTTTACTTCATATATTATTATTTCAGACATAAGACGCTGTTGTGTATATCCTAATATTGTAATTCAAACACATGCCAATCACTCTCGTCTAAGAATAGATTCTTTCGAGTAGATCACTAAAGGAATCGATTTCTACATGTCTTAAGGCTTTTCTGTACAAAACAGCTTTACGGATCTGGTCAGCTTGGCTTCATTGCAATGTATGTCATAATAATCATATTCAGGGTAGGGTATAAGATATCCCTGTGCTTGGAATGAGAAAAATGTGATGTCACAATTGGTAATCCCGTGGGGATGCCAGGTAAGACTTGATCCCCAGCAACCTGTGCTGGTTGGAAGAGGCAACCAAATGGATCAGTTGGTCAGGGTCAATGACCTGATTGCTGGTGTGTCATCAGATAAGACCAAGACAGTGTGGACTGTTGTTAGCAATATCAATCACTGGATTGTCTGGTCCAGTTGAGATTATTTACAGGCCACCGTCATATAGCTGGAATATTGCTGAGTGAGGTTTTAAACAACAAATAAACACAATTTGAAGCATAATTGAGGATGGATGTATTCAACTTTCATTAAATCAGTTTTTCTTGTACAAATATCTGTAAAGTGATAGTGTTCGACCCAAATATTTCTTTCTCAGAACATGCAGAAGAATATACAACATAGAAAATATCATTCTCATTGCAAGTCTGATAATTTGATCATGTTGATTTATCCTGGTGATGTGTTAACTGTATTCAGTTCAGTCTTTGATATCTTAAACACTACACTAGATGTTCAAGAAGTTTGTAAATGGTAAACATATGTTCCATTTCATGATTTGATTGTACACAACCATGATTTGTGTCACCCCCATATATGATGCTTTGTGTTGGACATGTTGGGATTTTATATGCTAATTAGGAGATATAGTGTGATTTCAATGTTGAGGTTTCAAACATAGATTTGATACCTGTAAATTTCGTTCGAAAAAGAATGCAATTGCATGAGCTTTCGAAATTGAAAAAATGTGCTGGTATCAAATTGAAGTTGGAAACCTCTACGTTGAAAACATACCATGTTTATCTCCATTCTACCATGACACAGTGACAAAACAAACATGACCATTTTGGTTATGGGATAGATTAGTGTTGTGGCATCGTTTGAGCCTTAAATGTTTCGTAGGCTGACAGGGCGAATTCAGGGATTAGTGAAGATCAGTTTTAATCTGCATATATCCTGAAAGCATTATTCAAAAAGTTCTAAACTACATACGACTATTGTGATGTCATAAAGTTCTACAGATGGGAAGTCTAACTATTTGGACGTTGTAGACATGATGTCACAGAATGTGATAAAGTAGCACCTGAAGTCAAGCCATGTTGAAGTTACAATACACTGTTTAGTTAGTATCTGTTCATCATTTCTCCGCCTGAAATATATTGCCGCACTTGCTGTAAATTATGTAGGAACTGCAACACATTTAGCAATGTTAAGGAAGTAAGATCGGTATTTGAAATTGCAAAAGAAGTGCTTCTGAATAAATATTTTCTTTTCGAGGTAATGCAGTCATCAGCAATATCGTGGTGTGTCATTGATCCAGCATCTCTGCCAGACCAATCAGAATGCAGGTTTCTAAGATGTCATGGTAGAATTCTTGTTCATTACTCTTGCATTCTCTGCATTGTAACATTTGCTGCTTACATGTGGGAAGAAGATGAAGAATTGCCTTCTGATGGAACTCGATAAGTGATTAACATTCAGTAATGACTGAAACTATTTTCTTAGCCACTCATTCTTAGTTACCAGTTAAAGTTGCAGGAGGAAGATAACTCTTGCATGCAACACTGGAAATGGATGTATCTAGACATGCTCTTGGACCGATATTCAGCCCCAAGTCTTCACAACGTTCAGGAAATGTCACTTCAAATTCCTTATTTGAAAATAATAATTGGCCCCATTAATGCTCATGATATGGCTTTGTAGAGGTGTCTTGTATGTCACTGGTAACTGCTTCAATAAAGAAGAAGAAGGTGCCTGGGAACCAAGACTATTATCTTTTTTAGCCTTATATAGCTGGGGGGCACGGGTGGCCCAGTCGTCTAAGGCACCGCGATTCGCTGTGCAGAGTTGCGTCCCTTGGACACGCCAGAAACCTATGATTGTGGGTTCGAATCCCGGTTCGCCCCAATTATGTTTCTAGGTTTGTCAGCACCATACCTGTGCTCGTGGGTTTCACCGAAGTGGTAAACGTCTGAGACCTGCATCACTTCAGGCTTTCCTCCCACATGAAGCTGACACGCCGCGATATGACTAGAATACTGTTAAAAGCGGCGTTAAACCCAACTCACTCACTCACCTTATATAGCTGGAATGTTACTGAGTGCAGCCTTGAACAACAAACCGTAGTCGGTAATCTATATTTAGTTGCCAGGTAATCAGGAGGAAGTGTTTGTTCATCTTCAGCCCGCATGTTGATGTTTGCTTATTGCACCGCTGGTGTTTTGTGCTGTCTGTGAATTGTCCAGTATAGATCAGGAGAACTGTAGTTTTCGCAGGGTTCGGTCAGCATTCTCTGGCGACAAACATCACCCTGCTGAAGGCAGTCGAGGTGGACGAGATCTTCGAGGGCAACGACGACAAATACAAAGCTGTCTCCATCAGTAGTGAACCGTCATTTACGAGGTAAACATGTAAACAATCAACCGTGTCAAAACTATATCCATTTTCAGTTTACAAATTACCCTCATCATTATCTTCTGAATCTCCCGGATTGGGCCATGACGTAAGCTACACAGAAAGTCATAACCTGTTAGGGCTTTGTATCAGCAAAATAAACTGGTATTATTGTGATACATTGGGAACTATAGCGTTTGACAGTGATTTACACTTATTGTACATGCAGATTCTCTTTTCTATACACTGAAGTGAATATTACTCAGCCTGGTCTGTTGACGCCATGTCGTTGTCATGGATACAGGGGAGATAACAATGTGAGAGAAAAGTCGCTTCCACGTTTCCACCGTTTTTTCAATCATTTTCGTAGGGAAACATCATTTGTACATGAATTTCTGTGTAGATTTCAGGTTAAGTGATACAAAGAATAATGGAACTTGTTCAATTTTTGTTACCCATTATAATGGATTACAGAAAAAATATACTGGTTTGCCAGTCATACTATGAAGTCCAACAGTGAATTCTGTTCATACAAGTGGGGCTCACATTAGCATGGTTAACTATGTTATTAAGAGACTGATCATTTAGAATGTCTTCTTCCTGATTTCCTCTTCCCTTGGCCACGCCAGAAACCTATGATTGTGGGTTCGAGTTTGCTCCAATTATGTTTCTAGGTTTGTCAGCACCAAACCTATGCTCGTGGGTTTAAAAAAAGTTGTAACTATCTGAGACCTACATCACTTCAGGCTTTCCTCCCTAATTAAGCTGACATGCCATGATATAACTGAAATACATGTACTGTTAAAAGCAACTAATACCCAACTCACTCACTCACTCCTGTTTTCCTTCTGTCATTTTACTGTTAAATCTGTTTCCGTATTGAATGACATCAAAGTTGCTGGAGCTGTAGGTCCATAATGAACTCTTTAAGATGAACCAAAAAGAAATTTAAATTACCTTATTCGACGTAATAAGAGCCCTGCTCTAATAAGCGCCCACGGCGACATTTGCCAATATATTGGCTGGTGGACAATCCCAATTAGAACCCCTTCCGATTGATCAATGTACACAAGACTTATTTATTCGCGTATAATACGCACTCGTGTGTTATATGCACCCTTAATTATGGGCAATTAAATTCTGGAAAAATATATCTGTCGTACATAAACACTTCAGGCTGTCAGCATAAACCTCGAAATTTATCTTTCAACTCTATTTTTTTTCACCAAAATATAATAATATTCTAATAAGAGCCCCCTGTGTCTAATTTTGAGAGCGCCCTGGGCACATATTACGTCGAATACGGTAGTATGAAAATTAATTGTAAAATATGTATGATATTTATGTACAGAGGTTTACAACCACTCAAATCTGCTAAACATGTTTGGTTGGGCTTCCATTTATTCTCCTCCCAATAGGATCATTATCAAGGATGTAGTACAATAAACTACGGTTATAACGAACTCAAAGGGACCACTAAATTTAGTTTGTTATAACCGTAGTTCGTTATAAGCATATATACAGCATATATACAGCAAATGGACAGGTTTGATGCATGTCATCATATCCCCATTGCGTAGATTGATGCCCATGATATCAATAACTGGATTGTCTGGTCCAGACTTGATTATTTGCAGACTACTGTCATATAGCTGGAATATTGCTGAGTGTTTCGTTAAACAACAAACAAACAAAGTACTGGTTTGTCTGCTCAGATTTGATTATTTATGGGTCTTGGTTATGTGTCTGGAATATCTGCGAGTGCTGCTTTTAACAACAAACTAACATGTTTGAATCATTCTTTTCAACAGAGATTCAAAGACAAAGCGCAGTACCTGGGTACCCACAATTCCAAGCAGTTCTCACCATCTTGATGCTGTTCCCTGTTCTACACCCATCAATAGAAACAGACTCGGCAAAGGCAAAGTGCGGACATTCCCTCTATGGTAAACCGATGGCCACAACAGAGTGGATGGATTTCTGCTGCCATATACATGTCAAATATTGATAGGAAGTAATGATCGTAGAACTCTCAGAAACAGTGTACATGGTGTTAGGAAAGCTGGCATTTTGTCTACCTAGTAATCATGGCCGTCTAGACACAAACATGCTACAATTTAGGATGAGAATTGATTAAAGATTTATCATAGATCATTTGTTTAAAAAAAGGCAATAGATGATCAATGAATTATCAGTCATGAGACCCTTGAAGACCCTTCAGCAACCCATACTTGCCGTAAAAGGTGACTATGCTTGTTGTAAAAGGTGACTTACGGGATCGGGTGGTCAGGCTCGCTGACTTGGTTTAATACCTATCATCGATCCCAATTGCATGGATAGATGCTCATGATGTCAATCACTGGATTGTCTGGTCCAGGCTCGATTATTTTTCAGACTGCCATCATATAGCTTGAATATTGCCGAGTGCGGCGTTAAACAACAAACAAACAAACAAACATCAGTCATGAGTTAGAATATGAGCATCATAATGTGAGCATTGTCTCTCTGTATAAAGGATATTACAAATAACAGAATTGTACACATTGATTGATTGATAGAATTCGAAAAAATATGTTTGCAGATTCAGCCTCAGAATTTCGAGGTTTTTTTAGAATGGTCTCAAGGACTAGTTGAAACCTTAGTTACTGGTCTGCATTGCTGCAGTTGATGTTGGAACGGAACTACAAAGGAGACAGTTGTGTGAATATTGACATGTGTTGCTGACCTACCACATGTTTGTTGTAGCTTTGACGACACAAACCCAGCTACTATCCACGAGAATGCTGGCCAAAATGAATCCCTCATCCCAATCAGACTTGATATGGAGTTTGATGGCCAAAAACTGAGAGACTGTTTCACATGGAATAAAAACGGTAATTAAGATGTCAGAAAATGGTACTTGTTACCCTGCCTGGCGCTCGGCATTGAGGGGATAAAACAAGGATTGGTCAGCTCGTCGTCAGTGTAATGTGTTTGGGTAGGGTATCTATGTTGAGCTGGCATAACTCTGGATGAGTACAAGCAGCCAAACACACATGCATGCATTATTGATTGAGTGAGTGAGTGAGATGGGTCTAACGCCGCTTTTAACAGTATTCCAGTTATATCACAGCGTGTCAGCTTCATGTGGGAGGAAAGCCCGAAGTGATGCAGGTCTCAGACGTTTACCACTTCGGTGAAACCCACGAGTGTGCTGGCAAACCTAGAAACATAATCGGGGCAAACCGCCGGCATATATGAGTGAAATATTCTTGAATGCAATGTTAAATTCCATTTTACCTCACCCATGTTCTTTTGTGCACAGGTATTATTGGGTATCAGCAAACTTTAAAATAAAACTCACCATGCTTTTATCACCAGATATCCTTTAGCTTCAGGAAATGATGAGAAAGCACTGTATAATGTTACTCACTCAGCTGTTATCCTCTAGCTTCAGGAAACAAGATACGACTCTTTATTCTGCTATACTTTTTTCTAAACACCAGGGAGTTGCCTTGACTTGTTCTACTTGACACCAGACAACATCCTCTTTTCAATTTGGTCTGCAGCAGTTTGGGCGTGTGTGACAGTGCTTGTTTTTTCGCCTACATTGTCTCATATAGTCTGTTAATTCAACACATCCAGCATGCTGAGGTCTACAATTTTGACAATTTATAAGCTGGTGGCTCAAGTGCACAATCATATTACAAGCATAGGCTGCTTTGGATAAATTCTAGCCCTGTGAAGATCCGGGGTAGAATAGGTTTTCAGCAACCCATGCTTGCTGTAAAAGGCGACTATGTGGGATGGGGTGATCAGGCTCGCTGACTTGGTTGATGCATGTCATCGTATCCCAATTGCGTGGATCGTTGCTCATGATGTCAATCACTGGATTGTCCGGTCCAGACTCGATTATTTACAGACTGCAGTCATATAGCTGGAATATTGCTGAGTGCGGTGTTTAACATCAAACAAACCAACTTAAAATTGTGAGTTTTTGCAGCTGCCAAGGATCTATCACAGAATTGTTTGATATGTGTTACTTATTTGTAAGTTATTTGTAAGTTGGTGTTGTATTACTGGAAAATACCCGACATGGCATAATGTATATATGTAAAATCTATAGTTCACAGACTTTTCAATACATGTGTCATGTAATTTCAGAAAAGCTCATCTCACCTGAACAGTTTGCTGAAGTATTATGTGATGACCTTGACCTTAACCCAATCAACTTTGTGTCAGCTGTGGCCCAAGCGATCCGGCAGCAGATCGAAGCATCGCCCACAGACACTATAGTGGAGGACCAGAAAGATCAAAGAGTTATACTTAAAGTAAACAACGCGATATCAACAAATATTCAGTAACCTCGGAACCAGTTGTTTTCAAGGATTATTATAACACATTCGGACAGCCCTATAATGCAAAATATGTATCTGTTCCTATGCTGCCCCAAGTGTGTAACATGTTGCATAAACTCATAAGGGTATAAAATACATACAAAGCTCATTTAACTCAAATTTAAGCGCAGCCACCTCCATGTTTAGTCATTCACCCGAGACTACAGTTCACAGCAGCATTAGGCAGCCTTCATGGTCCAGTGTTAGTGCATCCATCCAGGGGAGCGGATGTCCGGGATTCAATCCCAGTCGCGTCATGCCAAAAGACCTTAAAAGATTGTACTTGTTGTTACCCTGCCTGGCTCTCAGCATTAAGGGGCTAAAACAAAGAATGGTCATCTCTGAGTCAGTATAGTATGTCTGAGTTGGGTACTGTTTAACTGCGGCATTGTATCTCAGTGGGCCAGCACTATTAATCGGCATTGGTCTGAACTGGTACAAGCAACCACATACACATGCTTAAAGTCGTTATATAAGTGCAATATAGATAGACCCAACGTTAATTCCCGACATGGGTAGTATGTGTGAAGCCCATTTCTGGTGTCCCAGCCATGATATTGCTGGAATATTGCTAAAAGCGGCATAAAACACTATTCACTTACTCATTATTCACGGCAGTAGAGTTCAAGTATGTGTGAGGGACGGTCGGGTAGCCTAGTGGTTAAAGTGTTCGCTCGTCACGCTGAAGACTCGGGTTCGATTCCCGACATGGGTACTATGTGTGAAGCCTATTTCTGGTGTCCCCGCCGTGATATTGCTGGAATATTGCTAAAAGCGGCATAAAACCATACACACTTACTCATTATTCACGGCAGTAGAGTTCAAGTATGTGTGATGCCAGCACTGGAACAGAAAATAAATGTAAAGAAATACAGGTACACAAGTGGAAAAGGCTACACTGGGTGGTTACACAGTGGTGTTATGCCATTGGGTTTTAGAAAGTTTTAATGCGTATTTGTACACAAACAACTGAAAACTAATTGGGTAATGGCGATATATTTTGCATATTTTACTCGAATCTGGCGCTCGGATTCTGCTTGGAAGTATCTTGACTTATCGATCTGGTTTTGGTTTGGTTTGTTGCTTTACGCCACACTCAGCCATATTCCAGCTACATGACGGCGGTCTGTAAATAATCGAGTCTGGACCAGACAATCCAGTGATTAGCATCATGAACATTGATCCACGCAATTGGGATCGATGACATGCATCAACCAAGTCAGCGAGCCTGACCCACTGATCCCATGTCTATCTGGATGACTGTAGACTTGGAAGGTTTCATTGTGTTTTAGCAATAAGGTTCAGGTTTGAATATTTTTCAGAATTGATGTCCAGATGTTTTTTTGCAGTTAAACATTCATGTAGGAAATATCTCACTAGTGGACCAATTTGAGTGGGACCTCTCCGAGCCAGAAAACAGTCCTGAGGAGTTCTCCACCAAACTGTGTGCAGAGCTAGGTAAGAATCATCTCAATGCTAATGACTGGATGGTAACACTGAACAAACGTAGCATACCTGACTGTTAGCGTGAGTACAGCTTAGCTATTGGTAATAACCATTATAACTTGCCCGTGAAGAGATCACCTGTTCAATAAACATACAGCTGTATTACACATTGAGTAATACCAAAGCGTGTGCTTATGTACTGCCGGAACAAGTTACACTAACAAACATTGAAAGCTTTCAACATCTCTTGGCTTATTCAATGACATTGTGTGAGGAGATGATAGATCACTGAGAGGAGCTTATGCACACTCAATGACCCCAGCAACCCCGTTGCTAGGCTGACGTCACATGGCATTGTTTCGCTGGTGGATCTTGCAACAAAATTCCACAAATCACGTCATAGGGTATTGAGACTTGATTGTAAACTTTGTGGTGCAGGTCCCGTTCCACAAGGCAATCGGATTGTAGCGCAATGACAGTCGTAAGTTTCTGTTCAAGTATGTGAGTTACGATAACCTTAGCGCTACAATAACTTTGTGGAACGGACGCCTGAATTCTAAAGGTTGTATGTTATTAAATTAGTATGGGTCAACGTTTGACATGTTCGAAGTATTATTCTGTTTAACTCAATTGGATTATGTTGTGGATCGTATAGGTGTCTGCCTATTCATACATGACAGTGAAATTCTAAAAAGAATTATAAATGGCAAGTAATAAATAAAATACTAAACTTGCTCCCGTGTAATACCAATTTTATGAAACCCATCAATAGTTCTGGTATCTGAATCGCTTTCACTCGTCAAATACCAGAACTATTCACTCATTTCATTAAATTGGTATTACACGGGAGCTCGTTTAGTATTCTACATTTATCTGATGATAAAGGCATATTTTATCACATCAGAATGTTTGAAATTGTAATATGCTTATGACTTTACTTGCTCATGCAGATCATGTGATAAATGTACACAAAGAAATTATGATTCCAATTACATGTCTTGAAAAATGTGATTGCATCATTTTTTTTGTTTTTATTATTGTTATTTTTTATTTATTCAGTTTGCAGCAATAAATGTAAATCTTAGCATCAACATTATCACAGTTTCAATGCATCAGTCTACCATCAGTGACATGTTAAAGTCTTTAATCCCAGAATAATGGGTACAATGTGTGAAGCCCATTTCTGGTGTCCCCTGCCATGATATTGCTGGAATATTGCAAAGAGTGGCGTAAAAACATACTCACACACACAGAATAATGCGGCAACATTATCAAAGGGAGATAATTCGAATGGCACATGTATGGATTGTCTCCCCTTGGCTTTTGAGTTTATTATTCTGTGCCTTATACCAAAAAGGTATGTAGATGTTGGTACATGTGTTAAAATGTTGCAGGTCTTGGTGGGGAGTTTGTGACGGCGATTGCATATAGTATACGAGGTCAGCTGAGCTGGCATCAAAGAACATACGCCTTCAGGTAAGTGGAAGGGGTTGACAGAATGTGACACCCCTGTGAAGATCTGGGTTAGAATTGGCCTTCAGCAACTCGTGCTTGTCGTAAGAGGAAACTAATGGGATCAAGTGGTCAGGCTCGCTGACTTGGTCATCGTATCCCACATGGGTGGATCGATGCTCATGATGTCTATCCTTGGCTTGCCTGGTCCAGACTTGATTATTTACAGACCACCATCATATAGCTGGAATATTGCTGAGTGCGGTGTTAAACAACAAAACAACCAACAAATCATATAACTGGAATGTTGCTGAGTGCAAACAACAAACAAGTAAATGAACAAACAATATATTACATTTTAACTTTGTTATCTCTGATCTGAATGGATGAGAATTATCAGACATTGCCAGATAAACATCATGATTCCTTTACATTTGGGAATAGGGGATTAACAGGTCTACAAATTTTTCATGGAGGGTGGATCACTACTGGTTGGGAGGGTGGGGATGTTGGAGTTTAGTTGGGGATGCTGGCTTTTGATGGGAAGGTTTGAGTGAATGAGGGGGTGGAAATCTTTCATCTAGTCTGGCCTTGTATTTCACAGTCTTATTCAGTAGTTCAACAAAATAAATATAAGCATGATAAAGCATAGAAAGACAGAGGTTTATTTGCATTACACGCCATGTGAGCTAAATTACAAAACTTTTCACATCATAATTTGAGTTACCACATGAAGATATACAGACTCAAATTAACAAATGTACTTATTAAGAGGAACAGTTCTTGAATAGACGTGTTAAGAACTTGGTAAATGGCAATGATACATTAATATCTGATGAAGTACATAGGCTTTTAAGTGAATAATACTGCTTATTTGACAATTTAGGTAATAACAGTTTACGCTCATCTTCATAATGTTTACAGACATATACAACATGAAGGAAAAGCATAGAAACGTAACAATGTTTTCCAACTTTTGACATTTTGCCGAACTGGTGGTGAAATCAGGCTTCATATGAATCTCTGATGTTGCAGCGAGGCACCACTGCCAATTGTTGAAGTTGCTCTCAGGAACCAGAACGAGGCTGACCAGTGGTGTCCATTCCTGGAGACACTGACCGATGCAGAAATGGAGAAGAAGATCCGAGATCAAGACAGAAACACAAGGTGGGTACGACACGGACTCTAGTCAACTGCAGAGTTGGATCTGTAAACTGAGTCTGTCGGGATTCAACTAGTCTCCTGCCAGTACTATCACATGAGGTGTTTATTAGAAAGCTAAGGAAATATGCCTATTTGACATCTCTCTTTTTTTTAGCATGTCGGAACTAACGAGAATTGACATTCATTTAGTTGTAAGGTGTCATTAGATATAATTCTGTTTGTCCACTGAAGTTTATGGTACTACTGTGTGGCAGATTGAGCATTCTTCCAAATATGTGTAATAGTGCTTTCTCTATTTGACATTGTTTTAATTAATCACAGTAAACTGTGACTCTCCAGCTCTGTGAGATTCAGATTTGATTGTATGTAAAAATTCACCGAATTGGTTTTGACTGCTTTTCCCGTTGGGGGAAAAAAAACTGTTGCAAGTCAGATTAGGTTCTACATCCTACAATTTGACTTTTGAAGTTTTTAAGCATCAAATTCAAGACGTCATTGTCATTGCCATAATGCTAAATATTACAAATTAATCTTTGTGGTCCATGGATTTAAATCCTATCTAAGGAAATCTCAAGGATCACTGGACCCCCCTCCTTTCTAACTCGGATTTCATATCATGCAGTATTTATATCTTGTTTTCAGACGTATGCGAAGATTGGCCAATACAGCACCTTCCTGGTGAACAAGACGTTTCAAGTGTTGATATTGACGAGTTTGGTCCACCTGGGAAGCCATTGACTTCTTCAGTATGAGTGCAATGTACATGGCAGGTTCTGAAAGTGACATGTTCGAGGTGCTGTCCACTATGAGGAGTCAACTGATGATCTGGTGACAAGACCATGTGGGGCAGGGGGTGGGGGCGGATCACTGCTGGGTAGGAGGGTGGGGATGTTGAAGTTGAGTTGGGGAGGCTGGCTTTTGATGGGAAGGTTTGAGTGAATGAGGGGTGGAAATCTGTCAACTAGCCCAGCCTTGTATTTCAGAGTCTTTTTCAGTAGATTTTAGGGTTACCATATGGACTTTTATTAGCCGGTTGGTATTTATTGGGATTTTTAGACTTGAGTCTGGGTTGGTTTGGTGAAGTGGGCGCTGGGAAATATGGGAGTGTTATGAGGATGGTTGGTCGTGGATTTGTATGATTGAGTCTTGGTTAGCTTGGTGGAGTGGGCGCGGGGAAATATGGGAGTGGTATGAGGATGGTTGGGTGGGTGTTTGTATGATTGAGTCTGGGTTAGTTTGGTGAAGTGGGCGCTGGGAAATATGGGAGTGGTGTGAGGATGGTTGGGTGGGTGTTTGTATGATCGAGTCTGGGTTGGTTTGGTGAAGAGGGGTGAAGTGGGTGCTGGGAAATATGGGAGTGGTGTGAGGATGGTTGGGTGGGTGTTTGTATGATCGAGTCTGGGTTGGTTTGGTGAAGAGGGGTGAAGTGGGTGCTGGGAAATATGGGAGTGGTGTGAGGAGGGTAGGTTGGGGATTTGCATGGACGAGGTTGGATTGTCGAGTCAGGAATGGAAAATGGGGTGGGATGGCGATGTGTATGGTCGAGTGTGGTTTGGTAGACAGGGGGCTGGAGTGAGGTGGATTGGGAAATCTGTAAATTGGCACATGTCACAGATGGAAGGACTGAAGGACACCTAGTGGACCATTACAGACGCTTTGAATGAATTTATTTATACTGTGTTACCATCATGTGCAACCCTAGACTTAAACGATGCAACTCCTTTCAACACTGTGAGCATATGTAAGTTTATCAAAGGGGATTTCAGGCGTAGAGCTAAACTTTTAAATATCTGACAGTTAAAGGCATTAAAAATGGAAATAGGATATTTCGAACACAGGTCCCATTGATACAGATAATTTGATATTCAAGTTGAACTGCGGAGGTAATTACATTACCGGTAAGTATGTTAGGGACACATAGGGTTAATCATGGATGAAGACAGATAGTAAGTGTTGTGTATGCGAGGATGCTGGACTATGGACTTCCTACAGCTAACACTGCCACGTCGCACTGTCATATGGTGCATCCAGGGTTTCTACTGGGTCAGTTCATTATGTCAAGTCATTCATTGTCATTATTCATGTACATCATTTATCATTTCAAATAAATCAAATTTTCTATATCATGTTTGTTGTGTTGTGGTCGTACACATGGAGGGTTCAGTGGCGTTCTGTTTAATATCTTCAGAATTTGGGGAGTGTTGTGTTCTATGTCATGTTTGTTGTCTGTATGACATATTGAGGGTTCAGTATGCGTTCTATTTAATATCTTCAGAATTTGGGGAGTGTTGTGTTCTATGTCATGTTTGCTGTGTGTATGACATATTGAGGGTTCAGTATGCGTTCTATTTAATATCTTCAGAATTTGGGGAGTGTTGTGTTCTATGTCATGTTTGTTGTGTGTATGACATATTGAGGGTTCAGTAGGCATTCTATATACAGTGGTCCCTCGCTACAACGCTACCAATGGGGTCCAAATAATTGGTGGGCGTTATAGATGATGAGCCGTTTAACCGAGGGCAAGGCAGGGGAGCGCGTTCGGCAAATCTCAAATCATCAATATGTGTTTATCTCACGTCACGTCAAAATAGTATATATTTTTATGGACCTAGATCTACCTTTAATATCATTCATTTATTAAATCTGTCACATTTCTAAATGTCTGAAATACGTATTCCATTTCAATTTATCATTTTTTATCGATAAATTAAAAAATTATTCACTATTTCCTGCGATGTTATTGAAAATAAAATTCTCGGACACACATTTTGACAACGGGTCCGCATCGAACATGTCAAAGAGCAAAATAAAGACGTTTTAAGCAAATCTTTAAATATATTATACAAAGTGATAAATAAAATCAACAAAAATATATCTAAAAGTAATCAAACTTACATCTAAGTTATTATTTCCATCACTGTAGGGATCACTGTATTTATATCTTCAGAATTTGGGGAGTGTTGTGTTCTATGTCATGTTTGTTGTGTGTATGACATTGAGGGTTCATTTCGCGATCTATTCAATATCTTCAGAATGTTGTGAGTGTTGTTTTCTATGGTGTGGTTGTAGTCAGAAAACAATATTACAGCTGTATCAGGGAGGCCTGCAATTAATTGAGTCTGGACATTTATATTCAGGTAAATTATTTATTCACATGAGACGGGGCTATATGAACACAAACAAATGTCCTGACTCATAGATTACCGGTCGTGTTGGGATTTGGGACAAAATAAAATTGAGCACTTTGTGATCTGTGACCAGGTTGACTGTCACCATACCCTAACCATGATAACAGCATGGGTAGATGCTCATGTTATCAACCACTTGTTTGGCCTATCTAGGCTATATTACGTTATAGGGAAAGTAGCAAATGTTTTAACTTATCCTGCATTACTCCGGATTGCATTAACTGCTGTCTTTTGATAGAGAGACGAACTGTGTGAGATCCAGCTGCTGAAGAAAGTTGCAGCAGCGCCCTCTCACACAGTCGGCAATGTGACCCGGAAGTCATGACGTAACATCAAAACACATAACTGCTTTAAACACAACATCTGAAACTTCGTGGGGAGGCAGTGTAGCGAAGGAAGGGCACTTCAACTTCGTAATGCAGGATAAGTATGCAAATATAAAAAATATTCAGATTTTACTAAATCTAATGACAATGGTGTTAACACTTTCTTGGGGAAGATTCATTTTCACAACACGAATGAACATGTAAAACATTTGCAATGATAAGGCACAGTATGGGCATATAAAAGTGGTTTACTCGAAAGTAGCAAAACACTACGCAACAGAGTTATTTCAATAATAGGGACAGCTATAAATTGGAATGATCTTTCATTATCCTGACCCACAAATCAGAAACATTGACACAAAGTAACATAGCAATCAGTTGAGGTTTTACTGCAACTGTCAGTGATGAACATTAAACGTTAAAATTTGTTTATTGTTTAACACCAAAATCAGAAGTGTTCGGCTAAATCAAAGGAGCCTGTAAATAATCCAAGTTACTGATTTATCTAGTCCAGACTTGATTATTTAAAGCTATTGTGACATAGCTGGAATATTACTGAGAGCAGCATCAAACAATATTCACTCACTCACTCACATGACAGGTCAAACAATTAAGCCCTAATACTAATCAGATGACTATGTCTGTCAAAAGAGGCAACTAACAGGATCGAGTCGTCTTGCTCACTGACTTGGTTGATGCATGACTATGTATCCCATTTGCGTGGATTGATGCTCATGTCAATCACTGGATTGTCTGGTCCAGACTCGATTATTTACAGACTTCTGTCAAATAGCTGGCAGTGTGCGAGCTTAGCCTCAATTTTGTAATTGATATCTTTTCCCGTAAAAACCAAGCCTCGTTCTCAAGTGCGACCTACAAACAGTAAATACAATTTGCTAGCAGATGACATATTCACTCTATAGTCTCTGTCAACTGGAGTTTTTAAACAGAGGTTTCTACTGAAACAACTTTTTTGTACTTTTATTAGCTTTCCATGTTACAAAATATATTCACTGGATATTAATGCTTTTCACCTGGATAATAAGGTTTATTCATTTCATGATGAGGATCATCTTTTTTTAAATTGTCCCAACTGTATGCATACCTGACAAGGACGACATTGGCTACCATTATGTTACGATGTCTTACATTTTTCTCAGGAGGAATGCCATTATTTTTTCTTTTGTTTCTATTTTTTCTGACTTGTTGGATGGCATAAATGCACATATATTCACAAGATGCAAAATTCTACTAGCGTTTAAACTTCTATATAATATTAATGCATACACAAGCCTTATTGGTATAAATGAACTCTTGATATTTTCCACTTGAAAATTCATTAGTTATAGAGGTGCCAGAATTCCAATATGTTCATACCTTTCTTGACAAATCTCCAGTGGTGTCACTTGGAAGTCGCATCATGATAAATAGTTAGTAAGAGACTGGTATTCCAAGTGAGTTCCAAGAAAATAACAGTTGAAACACACAATTTAGCCATGACCGAGCATAAAAATGCAATAGCCAAGGTATAATCCAAAAGTAATCGTCCACCACAACAGTAAAAGAAGTATACTGCTACAGCAGACGATAGGTTTGAGCCAATCATTTTACTGATAGAGGTCACGTGACTAAAATCTTGACAACTTCCGGTGGTGTGAAGGGTTACTTTCCCTAATTAAAACTAACAAACCAATACATATTTGAGATTTAAGTTCTGATTTATTTAAGCGCAAATGTCTGTTCAGTGTGATAACACTGACAAACTATGTCCAGACAGCTTAAGACAGAAAGAACCAAATGTCAAACACCACAACCTGTAAACCATCAGTTTAGACCCCTGACACACAAATTAGTCCCTCAATGACAAATCAGTCAACTCAAATTTAAACAAACGGTGTTAAACTGCCCTAAAGTAACATATCTGTCACTAGAATGTGATGCTATCAGTAAGATGCCAGATTTATTTATGTTTCTGGCCGCTCTGTGTGGGACTTCTTGGTCACTTCGAGGGGGAAACTGGGGACTGTCTTTTATCCAATTAAAAACATGTTTACATTTGTAGCTCCTCCTGTTTTAAGTTGGATATAGTAAGCTTAGTGATCAGTGATTGCAGGAAACATAGGAATTGGCCCCTCCTCCCTTTAAGATAGATGGAACCCATATTTTTGTGAATGACTTCTACCCTGTGAGAGAATATTTTGAGGTCACGTGACTTCAATAAACATGTTCTCACAGCCTCTACAGTGCATGGATGGGTTATATTTAGGTATTATTTTGGTAAATTGACATATGTGGAAATGGGAAATATATGAAAACATTACATGTACATATAGGATTTGTAATAAAAGGTTTATATGAGGTAGGTGTAGAGCCCAGGATTTTTCACTTCCTGTGACAGGGGCTGTGACGTCACTATGGGGCCTTTAGCATTGAATCTATTTATAACCTGTGTGAAAGCGAGGCTTGGTTTTCATCTATAAGCGGTAACATAGCCTGAGCTCGCACACTGTGGAATATTCAGTGTTTTGTTAAACAACCAACAAACAAACACTAATTTGTCTGCCCAGATGTGATTATTTACGGGTCTCCGTCATTTCTCTATTGCTGAGTGCGTTGTTTAACAACAAGCAAAATCAATGCTAATCATTTAAACTCAATGGCCATGATCAATAACTGCCAAGTATCAACAAAGTGCAGCAGGAAATAACACATTGTCAGTGCTTCCGGGTGTGTATACACCAAGTTCCTCTATCACCTGTGTTGATATACAGCCACTTCATAGTGCAGTAGTGACAATGAAATGAGGCCATGTGTTATCCAATGAGCCCTACTACATGCAAGAACTGTGTGGACCCTTAAGTTACCAAAATATCAAAGCAAGGTGTCAATGAAATTGAAGCAATGTGGAGATTCCTGCAAGGCTATGGCGCGAGCTGTCCAAGAAATATTGCTGTAATCTGAGCAAAATCGAGTGTACTTATGCACGATTGAGGTACTCCGTGTATATATACCCTGTGAAGTATTGATAATGGAAATAACATTGACACAAAGGCTGGGACGGGTAACTCATGTACTCAGGTGGGGTGGGTCCTGAGAAGGACATGGGTACCTTCAGGACATTCGGGATCTGTGGTAAGTCACGTGATAGATTGTTTAATGACAAAAACAATAAAAGTCACTTATTTTTTGCATTTCTTTCTGGCTATGCACACATTGTTTCTGACTTTGAAACATTTGAGTTAAGATGTAACTTCAGTCGACATCAGCGTATATAAATAGCATCTTCGGGAAAACAATTCCAAATCGGACATTATGTCCCAACTCTTGAGACCTACATAGGGTACCCGGGTAGGGTCAGGTAATAAGAGGTCGTAAATTTGGACTCGTCCCAGCCCTAATTGACCCCGTCCTTGAAGCAGAAACAGCTGACCCACAATGTTGCTCTGCGCATCTTCTGTACAATGCTTAGATGTCCCAAACACAGAACAACAAAAAGACTCTTTCATGTGTTTTTCCTGCCAGAGAATTTTAGATAGAGGCCATTTTCTGCCCGAAGAACGACCTCTGGAGAAGGCACCGCAGGTTTAGCAGGGTCAACCTCGATGTGAAATCTGTAAAAGTAAAATATTCCATTATATGACTCAGTTTTCATGTCAAAGCTTGTTGAAAGCTCCATTTAAATTCTGTACTAATACAGTATAATACATTTGTTACTCATCCTTCAATTTGCAAGTTTTAACTGCTTACAAAATTGCAGCTTACAAAAAAAAAGCAAAGAATTAAAAGTAACCTAACTGACATCTGTCCCGCAGTTATTTCCTGAGTAGTGTGATGATAATACAGCAGAAAATATGAAATATTGCCATATTGCAGATTATTCACATATTCCTGCATGTTTCATGGGGTTATTCCTATGCAGTAAGCTACTGCTGGAGCTGTCAACGAGGGTGCCAAACCCCTACCCTCCTGACGTCCGGCATACCACATACAGTAACATCTGTTCAAAACATTAGCATTGTTCACAATACTTCACATATGGCCATGCTCTGTTGAAATAATTATATAACCAACGATTTCAGATCATGACACTTTGGTCTCCTTCAATTATTCAACACCCACCGTCTAACAACTTGACACAGCATCACTTTTATTTCATTCACAGCAAAGTTCTGTCCGATACAGTTCCTGAAAAAACATCACAAACATCCTAAATATAGTACTGTTGAAACCTAACATCCCCTCGATGACTGTCTTATATGGACCTGGTTGTGACTATATGTAACTAAGGTGGCCATCTGTAATTTTTTTTGTGGTTTTCATCTGCCGATACGATATTACAAATAATGTCCTGCTAAAAATATGTTCTTATATCTACCTAATCATCCAATTTGATTGTACATCATCACATCCTAGAATCTGTTATCAAATTTCTGGTTACCAAAAAAATCTGCACCCAATGTCTTGAGTGAAAACAGTAGAACTTAGCAGCTTCAGTGGCCAAGAGATGAGTGATGTCATTTGATTGTGATGTCATGGTAACCGATGATGTCATATTGGTCTGCAAAGCATTGTGATGTTATTTTATTGCAGCGATATCTCCTAGGAGATGTAACTTGATCTCACCCAGTATCTCCTGTGAAAGCTTGTTTTGGATTTTAAAACTGCCTACTAATTATTATTGAAAATATTTTAATTTTGATGTTTAAACAAAGTTCATTCACCACTGTTTGATCTCTGACAACAAAGGTACCTTGCTGTGTATGCGCCCCTAGACAGTGTGATGGAAGTGAGACGGAAGTACTTATGTTTCCGGGAAAATCAAGACAGTGAGACGGAAGTAGTGATGTTTCCCAGAGCAACTATAGTCTGGAAGGTAATTTAAGGTACCAGCGTTTACTACAATATCTGAAAAACTATCGGACCTACTCCAGTCAAAGTTTGTATGAGATTATTAAACAGTCATACATAACTGGATATTACATTTAAAGACAATCGGTGCAAGAATAAAAAATCTGTCTATTTAGCTATCACTATATTTTATCAACAACCAGACCTATTCGTCACGGGTGGAACGAGTTGAGTTGATTGGTTCAACTGTGCCATATGGCCCTGTGACGCAGGGGTAGCATTATGCAGATGGCTGTTTCAATGAATGCTCGTTCCACCCGTGACGAACAGGTCTGGTTGTTGATGAAATATAGTGATAGCTAAATAGACAGATTTTGTATTCATGCACCGATTGTCTTTAAATGTAATATCCAGTTATGTATGACTGTTTAATAATCTCATACAACTTTGACTGGAGTAGGTCCGATAGTTTTTCAGATATTGTAGTAAACGTCGGTACCTTAAATTACCTTCCAGACTATAGACAGTGAGACGGAAATACTGATGTTTCCCAGAGCAACTAGACAGTGAGACGGAAATACTGATGTTTCCCAGAGCAACTAGACAGTGAGACGGAAATACTGATGTTTCCCAGAGCAACTAGACAGTGAGACGGAAATACTGATGTTTCTGGGAACATCTAGACAGTGAGACGGAAGTACTCATGTTTCCAGGTGTTCCCTGTTGTACTTGAGACAAAGGCTTTAATACTACAACACCTCAATTCCTGGTATTACTGCCTTGTTGCAGTCATCAAAGGACTGTAATTTGATTGGATGCTATTTTTAGAAGTTTTCGTTTGAACAGAACTCAAAACAAAGCTATGGTAGTGAACGGGTCCAGGGTATACTTCATAATGGAGATATAGTAGATTTGATGATCGAGCATGTCATACCTTGGTCCAGCAGAAAACGGCACAAAGCAGTAGGGGTCCCTCCCGGCAGCCCTGTCCAGACTGAATCTCTCGGTGTCAAACTCCTGAAACAAGGGTCACAATGAGTGCACTGTAGCTCACCTGGCTACACCTGGCAGAGGCTATCTGATCTGTGACACAACTTCTTTTTGAAAAATAAATCGAATACTCCTGGTGGACCCCAGGTTAGAATAGGTCTACAACACCTATGCTGATTGTAAGAGGTGACCATATATTTGTTTGTTTGTTGTGTAATGCCGCACTCAGCAATATTCCAGCTAAATGGTCAGTGGTCTGTAAATAATCGAGCCTGGACCAGACAATCCAGTGATTGACATCATGAGCATCGATCCAGGCAATTGGGATACGATGACATGCATCAACCAAGTCAGAGAGCCTGACCACCAAATCCTGTTAGTCGCCTCTTACGACAAGCATGGGTTGCTGAAGATCTATTCTACCCCGGATCTTTTCGGGTCTATATTCAGGCTTAGTGGCTTGGAAATCATTGTACAGCGTGGATCATTGCTTACAATATCAATCACTGGATAGCTCGGTCCAGAATCTTTTATTTACAGCCCATAGCTTGGAGCAGCATTGCACAACAGACAAACAAATCAAATATAAAAAGCCAGGAAGTTTTGAATGTTGACCATTCCGCACATGTTGCTTATCAGAGCTTGCCATTCCAAAAACATGTCTGTGTTGGGAATAAATTGACTTAAATGTGAATACATCACAGTTTACACATTTGCCTCCTTCAACACTTTGTTGAAAAAAAAAAGCTTCTTGCCTCACATCTTTTTAATAAAAATCTAACAATTTATTTGGCCTAAAAGTCTGGGCGATATCTGGGATATTTTTCCCACTACATAAGTCACAAAAAGAATCAACAACCATTAAAAAGCCCAGGGGCCACTTGCACAAAGCGATGTTAGCGCTATGACTATTGTAAGCCTATGTTAAAGTATGGGAGTTACGATCATCTTAGTGCTAAGATCGCTTTGTGCAAGTGGGCCCAGATGTAAGTAAAAGAGACCATACAAAGTATAACCTATCCAATTGAACCCCTTGAGATATGGAAACTAAATCTGATAATACCATGGGATTTGGCCAGACATTAGCGTTCCGGTGCATCTGGTACATGTTGATGTCGACTATCACCCCTTTGGGAATCTGGACGCCGTCAATGACCAGTGACTGGCTGAGCTGTCTGCTGACCACCGGCACAGGGGGAAACAGCCTCATGCTCTCACGGATAAACATGGGTAAATACTTGAGCTTGGCTAGATCATCCCTGAAACACAGGTACATTAGTCAGTGTGTGATAAACATGGACAAAAACTGGTCAGTGTGTGATAAACATAGGTAAATACAGATAATGTGTGACACACATGGGTAAATACTGAGACAGTGTGTAATAAACATGGGTAACCACTGAGACAGTGAGGGATAAACATGGGTAAATACTGAGACAGTGTGTGATAAACATGAGTAACCACTGAGAAAGTAAGGGATAAACATGGGTAAATACTGAGACAGTGTGTGACACACATGGGTAAATACTGAGACAGTGTGTAATAAACATGGATAACCACTGAGAAAGTGAGGGATACACATGGGTAAATACTGAGACTGGGATAAACATGGGTAAATACTGAGACAGTGAGGGATACACATGGGTAAATACTGAGACAGTGGGTGATAGCCATGGGTAAATACTGAGACAGTGTGTAATAAACATGGGTAAATACTGAGACTGGGATAAACATGGGTAAATACTGAGACTGTGGGATAAACATGGGTATATACTGAGACTGTGGGATAAACATGGGTAAATACTGAGACAGTGGGTGATAGACATGGGTAAATACTGAGACAGTGGGTGATAAACATTGTTAAATACTGACACAGTGGGTTATGAACATGGCTAAATACTGGTACAGTGTTAGATAAACACGGGTAAACACTGAAACAGTGGGTGATAAACGTGGTTAAATACTGGTACAGTGTTAGATAAAGATGGGTAAATACTGACACTGGTAAATACAGGGACGGTGTGTGACAAAGAGTAACTACTGGTACACTGGTCACCACAAACACCTCCTTACCACTCGACTTCATTCTTGTCCCCGACTGCCTGCTGAACGTCCTGGAGTACCTTCTGCTGCTCGGCAGGGTACTTGGCCAGCGTGTACAGACACCAACTGATGGCCGACGAGGTGGTGTCATGGCCTGGGCACAGACAACACATGTCTTATTAAATCAATCTGAGGTGGGGTGATGTAAAATGGGGTTCAACATCGAGTTCAAGATTATTACACTTTTATATTGTACGTCTATAACGACGTGCATGCGTGTGGCTGCTTGTACCAGTCCGGACTAATGACAATTTTATAGTGCTAGCCCACTGAGATACCATGCCGCAGTTTAACATGAATACCCCACTCAGACACAGTATACTGACTCCGAGCCAAACCAATCCTTGTTTTAGCCCCTTAATGCCAAAGCCAGACAGGGTAACAACAAGTGCCATCCTTTAAAGTCTTTTGGAATGATGCGGACGGGAATCGAACCTCTGACCTTTGCTATCTGGGCAGTCACTCTACCACTAGACCATGGAGGTGGTTCGACAATCTGAGAAGTGATGGAATGAATTCTGTGTAATATTGATTTTTAATAACATTTGAGTATGACAGTAACTATGCCATTAAAGGATAATCTGTGTGTATACATAGATGTCTTTCAATACTGAGTGAAGTAAAAACTGTGTCAGTTATTATGTATAGGAATGTGTATAGGAGATTTACAGAGCATCACACTATTTTGGGAAATGCACATACTGCAATACGTAGCACGATACATTGTAATTCTAAATTTTAAATTCAGAAGCACACTTGTGACAGACTGCAATATTTGTCCATCAAGTTTGCCATCTGTATTTTAGACCATAGAGCTTCCACAATTCGTCTTTTCTTGGAGCTCCAGTATGTTGATGACGTGTACAAATGCGTATGTACATAAGGGAGGTAACTGAGAATGAACCTACATCTTCGTGAACTTGCATTTTGGAATTATGGAAACAAACCTGCATTTTAGAACTATGGAAAGGTTTTGAAGATATTTGGTAAGTGTATAACATTTAACATATATATAAATATAAATCGCTATTTGAAACCACCCGATATATTGTGCATAAAAAAGTAGATTTGTAATACTTATTGTGGAAAGAATGAACCTCACTTTACCGATATATCGGTAATACCATGCACCCTAATGAAACCTGTATCATGTCCCCTACCTTCAAACATGAATGTGTCGACCTCATCTCTGAAGCCTGTATCATGTGCCCTACCTTCAAACATGAATGGGGGCAGTCGGGTAGCCTAGTGGTTAAAGCGTTCGCTCGTCATGCCGAAGACCCAGGTTTGATTTCCGACATGGGTACAATGTGTGAAGCCCATTTCTGGTGTCCCCTGCCATGATATTGCTGGAATATTGCTAAAAGCGGCGTAAAACCATACTCACTCACTCACTCACTCAAACATGAATGTGTCGACCTCATCTCTGAAGCCTGTATCATGTGCCCTACCTTCAAACATGAATGTGTCGACCTCATCTCTGATCTCCTGGTCAGTCAGGCCTTGACCTGCATCATCTCGCGCTGATAACAAAATGTCCAGGAAGTCCAAACGACGCTTGTTTAGTAACTCGGGATCTGATTCCTGGAAACAAAAGCTATAATATACTCCAGACTACCAATTTTTTGCATTGCTTGAGTGTTGATATTACCATTGTAAACATATGTATCTTATAGTTAATGTTCATAAAGTGAGTCAATCACTCAATCAGTGTCCGAAATAACTGCCTGTCCGCCTGACTGCTAATGTTTCTGTCAGGCTGCATGAAATTTTCTCCCACCTACCCAACTGTCTGACAGATAATTTTAACACTGCTTACATATTCAGTTTTATTGTAACTCCCTGTAGATTCTCAAGTACCGTAATCGACGCAATAAGCGCCCAGGGCGCTCTCAAAATTAGAAATAGGGGGCTCTTATTAGAATATTATTTGGGTGAGTTGAAAGATACATTTCGTGGTTTATGCTGACAGCCTGAAATGTTTATGTACGACAGATATATTTTTCTGACATTGAATTGCCCATAATTATGGGTGCATATAACACACGAGTGCGTATTGTACGCGAATTAATAAGTCTTGTGAACATTGATCAATCGGAAGGGGTACTAATTGGGATTGTTCACTAGCCAATGTATTAGCAAATACCGCTGTGGGCGCTTATTAGAGCAGGGCGCTTATTACGTCGAATACGGTAGTTGTTAATATTATTTTAACTGAATTGAATCAAGACACGATTTGTCTCTTATTTTTTTGCGATTTTTCAATATTTATAATACGGTTACTTTAAAGAAGGGCAGGCAACACTTATGGGTCACCAGCCTGACTGGCTTGTGGGGTTCTAAAATTATTTCAAACACTGGACTCTGTCAGCAACATTTAAGCTTTATCCTGGCTGCCTGTACATGATCGAGTTTGGCCTAGGCAAACATAGTATCTGGGAATGATGACGCACAATTATACAAGTTATTGAGTCTTCATCTGAGTTGGTTTAAACAAGTTACTAGGAACCTATTCTGACCTGGAATCCTAACAGGAGTTTCATGAAGTAATCGTGGTTGACAACTGGAACACCCGTGGCCCCTAATTCTGTTGTAAGCATGGGAGGTATATGATAATCACAAACTGAGAACACCTTGGTCATCTTGGTCACATCTTAATTACCTTGACAACCTTGGTCACCTTAACTACTTTGGTCACCTTGACTACCTTGGTCATCTCTAGGTTTGTCAGCACCATACCCATGCTCGTGGGTTTCACCAAAGTGGTAAACGTCCGAGACCTGCATCACTTCAGGCTTTCCTACCACATTAAGCTGACACGCCGTTATATAACTGGAATACTGTTAAAAGCGGCGCTAAACCTAACTCACTCACTCACTCACCTTGGTCACCTTAACTACCTTGGTCACCTTGATTACCTTGGTCACCTTAACTACCTTGGTCACCTTGACTACCTTGGTCACCTTGATTACCTTGGTCACCTTAACTACCTTGGTCACCTTGACTACCTTGGTCACCTCGATTACCTTGGTCACCTTAACTACCTTGGTCACCTTGATTACCTTGGTCACCTTGATTACCTTGGTCACCTTGACTACCTTGGTCACCTTGATTACCTTGATTACCTTGGTCACCTTAACTACCTTGGTCACCTTGACTACCTTGGTCACCTTAACTACCTTGGTCACCTTGACTACCTTGGTCACCTTGATTACCTTGGTCACCTTGACTACCTTGGTCACCTTGATTACCTTGGTCACCTTGATTACCTTGGTCACCTTAACTACCTCGGTCACCTTGGTCACCTTGATTACCTTAGTCACTTTAACTACCTTGGTCACCTTGACTACCTTGGTCACCTTGACTACCTTGGTCACCTTGACTACCTTGGTCACCTTGATTACCTTGGTCACTTTAACTACCTTGGTCACCTTGATTACCTTGGTCACCTTGATTACCTTGGTCACTTAAACTACCTTGGTCACCTTGATTACCTTGGTCACCTTGATTTCCTTGGTCACTTTAACTACCTTGGTCACCTTGATCATAGTGGATGCTTTGATCAACCACAGACCAATACCATCTGAAGCTGTCATCGCTGTCACCTTGATCACCTTGATTACCTTGGTTACCTCGGACATTATGGTCACCTTTCCAAATTGTACATCATAGCCACCTTGGCTACCTTGGTCACCTTGACTACCTTGGTCACCTTGACTACCTTGGTCACCTTGACTAACTGTGACAATCTTCGTCGTCCTCATCACAGTGCTACTAGAACTACCAACAGGTAGGATACATACTGCATCATGAGTGTCTATATTGACTACAAATGAAAATCTTACCAGTGCCTTTTTCCTAGCCATGATGATGTCCTCCGAGAATTTGTGAACATATTGACAGAGCTTGGCAAACTCCTTCCCATTGGCCGAGAGGTTGTAGATGAAAGGGATGTAGTGCAGGATGTTCCTGGAACATGGGGGACGTGGGTGAGTGTGCATACAACTACCACCGATAATATACATACACAAATAGCCTGTCACCCAGCGACACACAAGATAAACAACACAGCCAGTTAACAAGCTAGAGACAGTGAGTGAGTGAGTGAGTATGGTTTTACGCCGCTTTTAGCAATATTCCAGCAATATCATGGCGGGGGACACCAGAAATGGGCTTCACACATTGAACCAATGTCGGGAATCGAACCCTCGTCTTCGTCGTGACGAGCAAACGCTTTAACCCCTAGGCTCCCCGACCACCGCAAGCTAGTGACAGGATAGCCAACTTTTCCAGTTAACCAGCTAGAGACAGAATAGCCGACATTTCCAGTTTACCAGCTAGAGACAGGATAGCCGACTTTTCCAGTTTACCAGCTAGAGACAGGATAGCCAACTTTTCCAGTTTACCAGCTAGAGACAGGATAGCCGACATTTCCAGTTTACCAGCTAGAGACAGGATAGCCGACTTTTCCAGTTTACCAGCTAGAGACAGGATAGCCGACTTTTCCAGTTTACCAGCTAGAGACAGGATAGCCGACTTTTCCAGTTTACCAGCTTGATGTAAGATAACTAACATGTCAAGTTAACTAGCTACACGTAAGATATAAAAAAACATACCCTGTTAACCAGCTAGAGACAGGATAGCCAACATGTCCTGTTAACCAGCTTAAAACAAGATAGCTGACATGTCCAGTTAACCAGCTTGATACAAGATAGCCAACATGTCCTGTTAACCAGCTTGATACAAGATAGCTGACATGTCCAGTTAACCAGCTTGAAACAAGATAACTAACACGTCCTGTTAACCAGCTTGAAACAAGATAACTGACATGTCCAGTTAACCAGCTTGATACAAGATAACTAACATGTCAAGTTAACCAGCTACACGTAATATAAACAACACGTCCTGTTAACCAGCTCGATACAAGATAACTAACACGTCCTGTTAACCAGTTAGAGACAGGATAGCTGACATATCCAGTCAACCAGTTCGATACAAGATAGCTAACATGACAAGTTAACCAGCTTGACACAAGGTAACTAACATGTCCTGCTAACCAGCTAGAGACAATAAATCCAACATCTCCAGTTAACCAGTCAGTGATGAGGCAAACAGAACGTCAAGCAAACCAGTGGCATCATTTATTAGCTATTTACTTACAAGGATCTTGCCATGATCAGGTTTGACAATCTGATGACAGCTTTTACATAAGGATGACTCTGTCTGGAACAAAGATGTATTTAAGATAAAAGTGCATCCTAACTCCATAAGACTGAAAAACAAGGAACTGTTTGTGAGGCATCAGTGTGTCACTTTGAGTCTGTGCATCAGTCAGTTCTATGGCCAAGAAAAGATATTATTCAAATTTCCCACATCATATAAAGAAGACTCAGATACCCATGCTTGACGTCATTAAAATCAGAGTGTGTGTGAGTGAGTTGGGTTTAACGCCGCTTTTAACAGTATTCCAGACATATCGCAGCATGTCAGCTTAATGTGGGAGGAAAGCCTGAAGTGATGCAGGTTTCAGACGTTTACCACTTGGTGAAACCCACGAGCACGGGTATGGTGCTGACAAACCTAGAAACATAATCGGGGCGAACCGGGATTCGAACCCACAATCATAGGTTTCTGGCGTGCCAAAGGGACGCAACGCTGCAGTGCGAATCGCGGCGCCTTAGACGACTGGGCCACCCGTGCCCCCTGGTATGACAGAGCTGGGGATCGAATCACCAACCTGCCACTCTACAGACAGACTATGTTAGTGTCACATCAGCTGAAACCAAATCAACATAGCCCCCGAGATATTAAAGATCCAACCTTCCACTCTACAGACAGACCATGTCAGAGTCACATGGCTGAAACAAAGTCTACTAGGGCTGGGGCGGGTAACTAGGGTACTCGGGTCGGGTGGGTACTGAGTAGGATCCGGGTACCCACAGGACTACCCGGACCTGTGGTTAATCACGTGATATATTGTTTAATGACAAAATTTATCTAGAACTCTATGGTTTCACACACTATAAGTGACTAATGTTTGCATTCCTTCTGACTTCATATGTTTGATTAAAGATAGAACTTCAGTCAAGTTCAGTTTATGCATGACCAGATCATTTTCATTCGTGTATCTAAATACATTTTACGAGGGCTACGGTCAAACTATTCCCAGTCGGACCATCTTTCCGAGGCAAGAGAGTAAACTGACTTTAAAAGTCCAGTTTCCACCCTTGCCGAACTTGGCTGGAATTACTGGGCTCGATCGTAGCGCCACCAGTGGCTATTTCCAGTAATGTCCCTTCTAAGCCTCTTCAATGAACCAATCATATTCCACCTCTCGTATCACTTGCGTTTGCTTCACACAAAATGGTGGGACCCAGTCAGGACGATCTGATCGATAATCAAGATCTTTATTGTGATAAAACGGTCTAACATCACGAAATGCATCAATTCACGTGAGCACCTTGACTAAAAACATGAAAAGATTTGGAAAATATCTGCTGACGAGTTGGCAAATCCTGCAATTGACCGAAATCTGCACGACAGTTTATGAACCGGATTTCGATTTCGGTGCGCGATTTTTATTGGACTATGCATAGACTCGTAAGTCGAGCCAAAATGTAACTCCATAATACCAGTCTAGTTTGGCAAGGGTGTACACTGGACTTTTATAGTCAGTTAACTCTCTTGCCTTTGGAAGATGCAGTCGGACATTTGGACCTATCTCTTGAGACCTGCAGTGGGCGCCCGGGTAGGGTCGGGTAAAAGGGGTGTATGTACCCGGGTAGTAAATTTGGACTCAGCCCAGCCCTAAAGTCTACATAACCCACCGGGATAATAAAGATTCACTGTATTTCTTCATTAATGCCTTGTAGCCCCTCACCCTTTTTCCTGGATGTCATCCTTATAGGACAGCGAACACTGCAGCATCGTGTCCAGAGTGGCTAGTCCAGCCGGGGCAAACACTTCAACAGAGTTACCTCCCTTACTTTGGCTCTCCAGATTTTTCTGAAGATAGAAAAGTTTTGGGGCAACTTGCAATCCTGTTGGGCTTAATTAGATACTGCAACACACCTACTTGTGCCAGGGTATTGAAAGATTCTGAATGTAGAGAAATTTGTGAAATGGGACACATGAGAATGATAAATAAGTTGTAAGGAAGGCATAACAAAATTCAAGGCTAATTATAAATGACTCAAACATTTTGAAAAAAACGTTACTTAACTACAAATAAAGTGAATGATGGATCTTTCATGGGTAGACCCAATGAGTTAAAAATAAACCTTACATATACTATTTTCTTCGAGCAGTTTATGTAACATATTTGGGTACAAAACAAAGAATACTATCTGCTTTTTCACAAGTTTTTTAATTTCTATCCTTGATTATCCAATGTATTTTATCTAAGTGTTATTATTACATTTTATAATATTAATAAATCCTCTGGACAACTGACTATTGCTCCAATCTCATTAAAATTAGACCTCAGTTCTCGCTACCGCTTAACAAAGATCTGAGGACATCCTATTACGGGTCCCGTAAGAATGACCTTTCATCCGACCAATCAGAGCATCGCTTACCAGATTATGAAAGTGACAGTCAGAATGTGATTTCCAATCATGCAGACTCAAAAACTTTAACTCCCAACGATAGTTACGGGTTCAACGACTGTATCCATACAATCTAGACCATCTATTAGCCATTCCAGAATGTTCTTTTGTTCAGGTTTCAATTTTGTAATCGAGAATTTGTCAAAATATGTTTCGAAGCGTAGACACCAATTTGAAATTGGTGCCGTAAAGCACGAGAAAGCTGCCTTCTGATTGGTCATTCCATTGGTCGGTCAAAGTTCGCGCAAGGTCAGTCTGACGTGACCAATAATGGGATATCCTCAGATCTTTGTTTAGCGGGAGCGAGAACTAAGATCTGATTTTAATGAGATTGACTATCTCTCTCTCTTAATTTCTCCAGTTTCGGAGGCTATTCAACATTTTGTCATTCAACATGGGACTCAACACTAAGCAAGGGTAGTGAATGGGTCCAGGCTATTGATAATAGATAGGACGAAGATATTACATGCCAAATAACTGAAGATGAGGCTTGAACGCTATGTACTTTGCCGACATCTATTTAACAAGGTATTGAAGTCACATTTACCATGAACGTCTGAGCCACCTGGTTGTAGACCCTGACATATGGCTGGAGAATATCGAAGTGGAAGGCTGGGGTCAGCAGGCGGCGGTTTCTCTCCCACTTCTTACCATCGCTCACTAGTAATCCATCCCCTGTAACCATGGAAACACAACCAGTAGATTAGTTTGGCAAGGATGGAAACTGGACTTTTAAAGTCTGTCAGCTCCCTTGCCCTGGGAAGTTGTCAGTGTAACAATGCTTTTGAACCATCAGGCTAGCCAATCGCCCCAAACCCAAAAGTAATGCAGGGTGTAGATTTTTACCACTTTGGTGAAAAGGCTGTGCTGACAATCCAAGATTCTTATTCAGGTTAAATCTGAGATCAAAACAGATGATCATCAGATCCTGGCATGACTAAGGGACACAACTCAGGTCCTTACACTGCAGGTCCTTTAAACAAGGTGCCCCCTGCACCTCATAAAACTGAAATGACAATCTAACATTCACCTTGCCAAGGTAACAAATGAGTGAGTGAGTTTGTTGTGTTTAACACTATTTTGAACAGTATTTCAGTACTGATGAGGGAGGAGGGCCCAGAGAGATGTTTGTTGTAGATGTTATCAGACCTGTGAAGATCCGGGTTCGAATGGGTCTTCAGCAACCCATGCTTGCCGTGAAAGGTGACTATGTTTGTCGTTCGTTCGTTCGTTCGTTCGTTCGTGAGTATGGTTTTACGCCGCTTTTAGCAATATTCCAGCAATATCACGGCGTGGGACACCAGAAATGGGCTTCACACATTTCGGGAAACGAATCCGGGTCTTCGGCGTGATGAGCGAACGCTTTAACCGCTAGGCTACCCGACCGCCCTGTTTATCGTAAGAGGCAACTAACAGGATCGGGTGATCAGGCTTGCTGCCTTGGTTGATGCATGTCATCGTATCCCAATTGCGAGGAACGATGCTCATAATGTCAATCATTGGATTGTCTGGTCCAGACTTGATTATTTACAGACCTCTGTCATACAGCTGGAATATTGCTGTGTGTGTTAAACAACAAACAAACAAACAAAACTTTTCTGTAACCAATGAGTATGTTTGGGTGTTGATAAGAGAGAGAGCGAGTGAGTGAGGTTTTACGCCGCTGTTAGCAATATTCCAGCAATATCAAGGCAGGGGACACCAGAAATGGGCTTCACACATTGTACCCATGTCGGAAACCGAACCCCAGTCTTCAACGTGACAAGGGAATGCTTTAACCACAAGGCTACCCGACCGCCCCTGGGTGTTGATAGTCCTAGGATCTTAAATCGGAAATCGGAAATCGAACCCGGGTCTTCAGCATGACAAGCGAATGCTTTAACCACAAGGCTACCCGACCGCCCCAGGGTGTTGATAATCCTAGGATCTTAAATCAGGGCAAATCTGATATTGGCATCTCACAATCGCATCACTAAGGGACGTAACTCTACACAGCAAATTGCAGCAGCTCAACCCACCGGGCCCCCTGTGCCAATCAAAGTCAGATGTGTAGTTTACACTCACCTAGCCATGGCAACAAGAATTCATATCCACCTCCACCCTTGGCCTTGGGTTCGGATGTTTTCAGAATGGCCTTCACACTCTCGTGGTGGGCGGCAACTACAATAGGTCTGTAGAACCCAATCCAGAACATATATGCTTGAGATCCATCTTTCAATAATACCATAGTGTCCTCAAAAAAGGCCTTGATACTTTTAATCTGCAAAACAAACAAAAATGGAACATTTGAACCTACTGGTACTGTAAGAGAGTACAGGCCTAGTAATACTGCCTTGACATGTACTTAATTCCACTATAAGATCATTGATATTTTGTTTGTTGTTTAACGCTGCACTCAGCAATATTCCAGCTATATGACGGCGGTCTGTAAATAATTGAGTCTGGACCAGACAATCCAGTGATTGACATCTGCACATGATTTCTATACTTTACATGCAAATCCTGTACGAGACAAATGGTGCATCTCGAGTCATGGATCTATGACGTTGCATGTGATGCGTTCTTGAGCATCGATTCACACAACATACCAACCAGTATGTTCCTTAGTGCCTCGAACCAATCTAATATCTCTTGAATATGAGTAAGTCTTCATATATCAACCATCATGTATGGTATTCAAGTTTCTTTTGTCGGTGAGAATATATGAAACAGATTCCAATATCAAGATGAGAATAAGATGAGAATGACAGCTGGTAATGCCTGTCTTGACAATATAATCTAAAATACTGTATAAACGGTATTATGTTTGTTTGTTTGTTTGTTCAGCAATATTCCAGCTATATGACGGCGGTCTGTAAATAATTGAGTCTGTACCAGACAATCCAGTGATTGATATCATGAGCATCGATCCACGCAATTGGGATCTATGACATGCAACAACCAATTCAAGTCCCCAAGCCTGACCACCCAATCCCGTTAGCCGCCTCTTACGACAAACACAGACACCTTTCACGGCAAGTATGGGTTGCTGAAGACCTATTCTACCCCGGATCTTCACAAGTTCTATTCACGGTATTAGTATCCTGCTGCAAGAAAACACACCCTGTCCCTGCTATACTGGTTGTAAGAGGGGACTTAATATATTGGGAGGTCAGGCTTGGCTGGCTGATTCCATGTCATCGTACCCCAACATGGATTGCTGCTCATAACACCAATCACTGGATTCTTTACATGCTGCCATCATATATCTATAATATTACTGAATGAGATTTCAAAACAAAAAACAATATAAACTAAATGCCAGGCAAAAGAAGGCACATGAAAATTAAATCTGAGGATTTGGGGAGTAAAGTGACCACCTCCATCTTTCTCCTCCATCACCTAGTGATAGCATGCTGCCAATCAGGATCAGAGTAGGTGCAAGATATTCATCAAAATATAATGGACAAATAATACACTGGATACTCAAGGATGGATTGAATGTTGTATACTTATAGGAAATGATTTGGATACAATATATATTATTTAGATCTGTAGTTCACCTGACATGCAGAATATGAGCCTAGTTCCAATTACCTGTCACAGGTATAATGCTAAATGGGGATCAGGTGGTCACCTCCCCGACTGGGTACCACTGTACCCTGAATGTGTGGATTGCTGCTCCTGCTATCAATCACCAGTTTTTTTCTGGAGCAGACACAAATTTGATCTTCAAAACTAACCATTGCTATTAAGGCCAGGACTGCCAACCAGTGTTTGAAATTTAAAAAAATACCAGGTTGCCATCAGGACCCACACACATTAGAAGTTGCAGGCCCTGAAGTTGCAGGTCCTGAAGTTGCAGGCCCTGAAGTTGCAGGTCCTGAAGTTGCAGGCCCTGAAGTTGCAGGTCCTGAAGTTGCAGGCCCTGACTCTTCATGCCCTCATTTACAACAAATATGCAGCTTCTTGTGACAAATAAATCGGGACATAAATGTACTGCAGGCCACAGAGACCCACACAACATTGAAACTATGGGCCCGACACAAAACCTACCTGACACGGGCCTACGTGCAGGCGCTTATTTCCAACACTGCTGCCAACTTGCTTAAGGCTATATAATTCCCACTTCATGGTGATTCGTTAACTCCAATCTCAACCACCCACTCCTCTATATCCTCAACACACATCCTACACAATGTTACAGTGTTATCACAGTACGTTTCTCGTATACCATACCACGTACCTGTTTCAAATTTCCCCACAGCCAATGAATGGGAAAATGGGGAAACTTGTCGTCCAACCCAATGTGCCATTTCCGCAGTGTCCTGGCGAGAGGAAGAACTTTGAAGACGAAGACACTGATGGCCAGTGCTATCAAGAAGACACCAACAATTCCTAATGCTATCATCTTTGTATGTGTACAGTGTCAACGTGTTCCTCTTCTGCCACCATTAAATGTCAAGGCAGAGATCGTATACCGAGTCGTATGGTCTTTGATCAAGGGTAAAGACCGGCGTGTTATTTTTAACTATCACTCATACCCGCGTAATCAACTGACCCGACCCAACGTGCCCGGTAATTGAGGCTCTACATTGATGGTACACTAGAGGTGTAATTTGGTATTGTGGTGCATGAAAATCGAGATGTCGCTCTTTTTCCAAACCAATAGAGCATCTCACCCAGTGTCTTTGATATCGAATATATGAAAACAAATCGGTACAAGTTTAAAACTGCGAGGCTTGCCAAAAGACATGATGCTGTTATTTTAACATACAAAATCAGCCTTCCAACCAGTGTCTTGAGTGTAAAGGTTATGTCAACCAGCTACAGAGGTGAGTAATTGTGACGTCATGGTAACCGATGACGTCACAATGGTCTTCAAATCATTGTGATGCTATTCATTGTAGGGATATCTCCCAATGTAAATATAGAATACTAAACGAGCTCCCGTGTAATACCAATTTTATGAAACGAGTGAATAGTTCTGGTATCTGACGAGCGAAATCGAGTCAGATACCATAACTATTCATGAGTTTCATAAAATTGGTTTTACACGGGAGCGAGTTAAGTATTTTATTTATTACTGGTTATTTATAACCTTTTTAGAATTATACTGTTGAGTGTGAATAGGCTGACACCTACACGATCCACGGCATAATCAAACTGAGTTTAACAGAATAATACTTCAAATACGTCAAAAGTTGAAACGTATGAATTTAATACCATCCAAGGGTCCACCTTTAGAATTCAGGCGTCCGTTCCACAAAATTATCGTAGCGTTAAGGTTATCGCAACTCATATACTTTAACTTTGACCAACGACTGTCGTCGCGCTACCGTACGATCGCCTTTTGGAACGGGGCCTTGCACCTCAAAGTTTACAATCACGTCACAATACCCGATGACGTAATTTGTGGAATTTTGTTGCAAGATCCTTCGGCGAAACAATGCCATGTGACGTCAACCTAGCAACAAGGTTGCTGGGGTCATCCAGTGTGCATAAGCTCCTCTCAGTGATCTATCATCTCCACACGCAATGTCGTTGAATAAGCCAAGGGATGTTATTACTTGCCCGTGAAGAGATCACCCGTTTAATAAACATACAGCTGTATTACACTTTGTGTAATACCAAAACGCGTGCTTATGTACTCTCGGAACACGTTTCACGAACAAATATTGAAAGATCTCAACATCCTTTGGCTTATTCAACGACATTGCGTGTGGAATTGATAGATCACGGAGAGGAGCTTATGCACACTCGATGACCCCAGCAACCTTGTTGCTAGGCTGACGTCACATGGCATTGTTTCGCCGATGGATCTTGCAACAAAATTCCACAAATTACGTCATCGGGTGTTGTGACATTATTGTAAACTTTGAGGTGCAAGGCCCGTTCCACAAGGCGATCGTATTGTAGCGCAACGACAGTTGTTAGTCTAAGTTAAAGTATGTGAGTTGCGATAGTCTTGGCCCTACGATAATTTTGTGAATTCTAAAGGTGGACAGCTGTATGGTATTAAATTCATACGTTTCAACTTTTGACGTGTTTGAAGTATTATTCTGTTAAACTCAATTGGACTATGCCGTGGATCGTGTAGGTGTCGGCCTATTCATATTCAACAGTAGAATTCTAAAAACGTTATAAATGGCAAGTAATTAATAAAATACTAAACTCGCTCCCGTGTAAAACCAATTTTATGAAACTCATGAATAGTTGTGGTATCTGACTCGATTTCGCTCGTCAGATACCACAACTATCCACTCGTTTCATAAAATTGGTATTACACGGGAGCTCGTTTAGTATTCTATATTTATTACATTATATAAGATAGCAACGCGGTAAACCGCAAAGAACAATGAAGAACGAAGCGTGGTTTATTTCACGATAAAACATTGTTCTATCATGACGTCATTTCTAGAGATTCGAACATGCGCTCGCAACTTGATGACGTCCTGTGTTTGACGACGTCATTTTTAAGAGGGGAGCATCTGGTGAGTTGTTTCCTTTAGATGCAGCAGGGCAACGCAGATGAACGCGATGGCCGAACGATCGCGCCCAAAAGCAAGAGAGATATGACAATCGGTATTGGGAGAAAAGGTACCGGTAATCGACGTGATGATTGTGAACAAATGCGGGAAATACCCACCTGTGCATAAAGTGGACTTGTGCGACGTTGCCGAGGTCGGATTCTATTGAGGGAGTCATCATTATTTAGATAGGGGTTAATATTTTTAAAGCTTGTACATTTTGTCAACATCCTTAAAGAGGATGTTCATACTGCTGATATCGCATATAAGAAATAAACAACTCCCACTCGTCGTTTATTTTTTAATTAAAATTGTATCAGAATTAAGGATGAAAATTTATGGATGACAACTTCTTTATTATGAGGAACACAACGTTTCGGAGTATATGCTTACTCCTTCATCGGGTGAATGAATGATATGAGGCAGAGAGCATATATATGTACACGTAAGAACAACAAAAGTAATGAGATAACAAATGGTGGAATTAAATTATCACTGATAGGTAAATGGCAATGGGCAGTGGTTGATTGAGTATGGTTTTACACAGCTTTTAGCAATATTCCAGCAATATCACGGCGGAGGACACCAGAAATGGGCTTCACACATTGTACCCATGTCGGGAATCGAACCCGGGTCTTCGCCGTGACGAGCGAACGCTTTAACCACTAGGCTACCCGACCGCCCCTAATGGGCAAATTGGCAAACGGGAGCCTGGGGGTAATTAGCACTGATAGGTAAACGGGAGGCCGGGGAGTACCCAACCCCCTCTGGACCCCCCTTGGAAAAAATACCATTTAACAAAATTGGGGGTAGATTTCTTCGTCCGCAGATAAGTTATGGCGGGCTGACCTGGGCTGAATGGCACGTAGTCGCTACACACGTAAAGCTGGTTCGCTAAACAAAGACAAGGGACATAACCCCGGGCATTCCCAATCACCAGTACCTAAGAGGCTTAAAACGGTAGTTACATGTTCAGTCTGAAAGTTCCTCCCCTATCATATCAAGTCTAGAGTGTGACATCTCGTTAAGGTGAAGCATTCTTTATATAGACCCGTGAAGATCCGGGATAGAATAGGTCTTCAGCAACTATGCTTGTCGTAAAAGGCGACTAACGGGATCGGATGGTCAGGCTCTCTGACTTGGTTGTTGCACGATCATCGATCCCAATTGCGTGGATCGATGCTCATGATATCAATCACTGGATTGTCTGGTCCAGACTCGATTATTTACAGACCGCCGTCATATAGCTGGAATATTGCTGAGTGCGGCGTTAAACAACAAACCAACCAACCAACCATTCTTTATAAATCAGTGACACAATTGTGTTCTTAAAGTCTCGGCCGATTGAAACGAGAGCCCATGTACCCACAACCGTAAGGGGTCAGGTAAATTAAGCGTTATTTCCCTAGGTGAGTATCCATCTTTTATAAACTGGTTTTAGAGACAATATGTCAGTCATCGAACCTTAACTGTTTGACCTTAGATACGAGTGTGAAAAAGAAGAGATTAGACACGGCATCTGTCCGACATCTTATGCCGTTTGTCATGCAGGTCTCAGACGTTAACCACTTCAGTGAAACCCAAGAGCACGGGCATGGTGCTGACAAACTTAGAAACATAATCGGGGCGAACCGGGATTCGAACCCACAATCATAGGTTTCTGGCGCACCCAAGGGAGTTCGATACCACGTTGTAGAATAACCACAAGCCTATGCAAGCTCTATTTCCTTTATTGTTCGTCTCGATTACATACATATGCGGTTCAATGCTTCCGTGTTTCTTGAACTAAGGGAGGAGTAGGGGAGGAAGAACAAAGTAATCCATGTATACGGGATGTGAGTACGTATTGTACGCCGCTTTTTATAGAAATATTCCACCAATATCACGGCGAGGGACACCAGAAATGGGCTTCACAAATTGTACCCATGTGGGGAATCGAACCCGGGTCTTCGGTGTGACGAGAAAACGGTTAATCCACTAGGCTACCCCATCGTTTGAAACCTCAAATTGGAGTTTCTGCTGTTACGTGTCGATTCCCAAATTGAAACACTACGTTATTCCAGAAATCTCTACGTAAATGAACTAAGTGTGAAACCAACAAACAACCAGCAGGTGGCATACAATCAACAAATGTATTACAAAATTTACTAGGCTTAAAAATCAACACAGCGCAGCAATTACAATGGCAGTACACAATAGAGTGGTAGTACACAATACAGTGGTAGTACACAAAAGAGTGGCAGTACACAATAGAGTGGTAGTACACAATACAGTGGTAGTACACAATACAGTGGTAGTACACAATACAGTGGTAGTACACAATACAGTGGTAGTACACAATACAATGGCAGTACACAATACAGTGGTAGTACACAATACAGTGGTAGTACACAATACAGTGGTAGTACACAATACAGTGGTAGTACACAATACAATGGCAGTACACAATAGAGTGGTAGTACACAATACAGTGGTAGTACACAATACAGTGGTAGTACACAATACAGTGGCAGTACACAATACAGTGGCAGTACACAATACAGTGGTAGTACACAATACAGTGGTAGTACACAATACAGTGGCAGTACACAATACAGTGGTAGTACACAATACAGTGGTAGTACACAATACAGTGGTAGTACACAATACAGTGGTAGTACACAATACAGTGGTAGTACACAATAGAGTGGTAGTACACAATACAGTGGTAGTACACAATACAGTGGTAGTACACAATACAGTGGTAGTACACAATACAGTGGTAGTACACAATACAGTGGTAGTACACAATACAATGGCAGTACACAATACAGTGGTAGTACACAATACAGTGGTAGTACACAATACAGTGGTAGTACACAATACAGTGGTAGTACACAATACAGTGGTAGTACACAATACAGTGGCAGTACACAATACAGTGGTAGTACACAATACAATGGTAGTACACAATACAGTGGTAGTACACAATAGAGTGGTAGTACACAATACAATGGTAGTACACAATACAATGGTAGTACAGAATACAGTGGTAGTACACAATACAGTGGTAGTACA